TCAAATCGTACCAATAATAATATAAAAGTATATTTTAAGTTATTTTCGTATTCATCGATCGAGATAATATTTGGGTGACAGTTTAAAAAGTTGTACCGTAATTGTAATTCATTCGTGGAAAATTACATTGAAGTACAAGTAATATAAACACTTTAAATGTAGTATTAGCCATTTTGATCATAACGCAACACTTTTTTGCTATTTTCCGCTCTATTCCGCTTTGACAGATAAAGTTTTTTCAATGTAGGCAATTACTTTACTATTCCGTTCTTACAACTTAATATTTCGCAACACATAATTGCAAATAGCCAACCATTTTCGTTGTCTTGTTTGGTTTGTTATTTGCAAACCAAGTTGGAATACCTCTGCACCTCAAGTAAGACATGTAAGACTTGAGTTACACCAAACGCTATTATTCAGAGAACCAGGTGAGGGAAACCTACTAACACCACTTCGGGTAGTTTCAATATAACCGCATCAAAAATGTCGTGGCCAGAGTAGGTACTGTAAAAATAATATGTAACAAAACATAGTATTTATATCTTACAATATCGATAATTTTTGCTGACTTCGAATTTTAAGTGAAATTTTTTTTTAAAGTTTTGTTGCTCCAATCTACATATTTGCGAAATCCGTTCTAGAGATAATCGCGGACAGATAGCAAACAAGTCGTTTTACATAAATAAGTGGCTGCTTCTACTCATATGTACAATGATAGACTTGAAAAATAATATACCCATAATTCAAAAATCAATAGATCTATACACCATCCTTTCCTGTGAACGTGTACCGATTCGACGCTGATTTCTTATGTCATGTTTTCTAAGCAGTATGCAGGCCTACCTGATTTGCTTATTGGTGATATTAGTGTCTAACTTAATAGAAAATAAAAATGTAAGTATATTCATTTTTTCACACAGCTAAAGCATGAGCAGAAGTTGAATCTAATAACAATAATGGTCTTTATCTGTCATATGGATTTACTCTATTATAAAAGATCAGTGTTTTGTATAAATGTCGTACTAAAACTGATGGAGCTTGTTAGACTGAATATGCAAGCAGACTGTATTTACAATAAATTAAATAGGCTCCTAAACATCTCTCCGCTCACCGTCCACGATTAAAAAAACTGCTATAAGCTCTGCTGAACACTTCTTACGCTGATTTTTAGATGCTACTGAGACGTTACATATAGTAACACACTTGCACACTGTACACTCACATACGCCTATGTTACGCGTTGCGTAATATGGTTTGGTGTAGTCATATATAGATAAATACATATAAAAATTGTAACTTGCAAAAAATTTGTTGTAAATTGTTAAAAATGTATTACGATAAAATTTGTAACGTCTGAAAAGTGTTAAGTTTGTAATGGAAGAAATATCGCTTGGCTTAAATATCATAGTGGAACAATATTTAAAACTATTTACTCAAAAATAATTTAATAGTCACATATACGGTGTCACGCCCTGACGTTTTTTTTGTATTAACGCAAACATTTCTTATAGAAAAACTTAGCTTTATAATTACGAAACATATTTAAATTACGTTTCGTAACTGCCAAATTTCCTACTTAAATTTTGTAACGTTTCAACAGTAAAATCTTGTTTGGATTATTTAATCAATCTACTAGATAAAGTCCTACTTTAAATAACAATTCTGTAGCGTAATATAGTCAAAGGTGAAAAGTTCACGATCGTTAAAAAGATTTGAGATAATCAGTATACAAATAGTTTTCAATAGATTCGCACGAGGCGTCATTCATTTTAATAATTCTATTAAACTACAGACAAATATACGTATCGGCATGTACTTTTTAAAGTTATTTTTGTCGGTAACTATACATATCCCACCTTAATAGTATCAAAGATCGCTAGTGCCAGCTATCAATGTCTCGTGTTTCGAATGAAGAAACATTCCTGTCAAGTGCGGTGAAAATATCGCAACTTTGCACTATTTTGACACGTGCGATCTAGATTCTAGACTTATGTATTTAAGTTAGTAAATGTATTTTTTACATAAATAAATACTAAATTTTTTATATTGTTGGTTATGGTTTATATCATTTTATAATTAAAGCCTCTAATTTCTTAAATTAGAGGCTTTGCAAAAAAAAATTATATTCAAATTGGACACAAGGTGAAAGGAAACATAATTCGGAAACCTGCATGTTTTAGATCAAGCACGTTAGTCATGATCATCTGCTAGCCTATAATGAACAATAATTAACAGAATAGATGCATGTCTTCCCCGTGTAATATTGGGTCAAAGGAAGGGAGCTCGATGTTAAATGGCATGAACGTTCTTGCAAAAACGGATGAAAGTAAGCATATACGTTGCGTCAGCCGCTGGAGGGTTGTTCTCTTACCGATCTACCGTCAAAGTTGCATCATGTTCATTATTTTTAGACTAACACTGAATGGCGATGAAAGAAATATTCTATATGAATTCTGAAATTGAGAGAGATTTCGAAATGGGGCAAATACTTGTTTATTTATTTCCCGCGGCGGTATTTATTAGCGCAGAGTTGGATTAAAATTGTCTTGGGTTTACGCGAGTTTAAAATAAAACTTCAACATAATTTATTTACATAACTCGTTACGAGCTTGTATGTAAAGTTCTAGGAGTTAGATTTGTATTCGGTAAAATAAAGCTTTCGGTACGAAAATCCTTTTTTTAAATTGTCTGCATTCACATATGGCTGATACAATACTACATATTTATGCGACGTAAAATGCACTTTAGTCTCAGGCAATACAGATTATATTTCAGTAACATAAAACGGACGCAGGTAGCTTTTCTCTAAGGACAATATAACAGCAATGGTAATTAGTATTTCTATGGTATAACTGTGCCGGATATAAATTAAGGCTAATGTTATTCCACTTTGTGAGTCTATGGCAAAATTTATACTTGTAGTTTTAAAGGGTTATTCTCTCTATATCTTTTAAATTGTATGAATTTGAAATAAATTAGGCCTCTAATATTTGTATGTAACATCTTAGTTTTGCCCGTAATTTACAGACTCTAAGATATTCCCAAATTTGGCAAATTGTACCCTCACGTGTTTTATTATATTCACTTATTTTTAACTGACTTCGAAACCGATAGAGGAGGTTATAAAAACTTTCTATGATTTAACCAAACTTAAACAGACTCAATCTTATTTCCTATGATGTGGTAATTAATCAATTGTAAAAAGAGAACCAAAAATGAAAACAAATTTATGTGACTTCGTACTAAAATCTAACACCTACACCTTTGCCCCGTCTCATCTCCTTCGGACAAGCAAAAAAGCTGGCGCGGCCGTAGAACAGGCAGAAATTAACAAACGGCACAAATATAAGAGTCTTTCCTCCAACTTCAATTTTGTTCCCTTTGGAGTAGAGACTCTTGGGCCGTGGGGTTCAAGTGCACAGGCGCTTATTAAAGATTTAAGTTGGCGCCTGGTAGATAGTACCGGTGACCACAGAGCTGGCACTTTCCTGGCTCAAAGAATAAGTCTCGCGAGCGAGGAAATGCTGCCAGCGTTAAAGGTACACTGCCACAGGGACCAAACTTTTTAAATTTGTTTTGATTTTCTTCTTTCTTCTTTAATTATTTTTATTATCACTTTATAGGTTAAGAAAATTGTAAATACTGTATTTGTGTAAATAAAAAGAAATACGTTTATTATTAGATAAAACGTATTATCAAATTTATTACATGATATCATTTGCGATAACAATATGAACGAAGTTATGAAAATTTGCACTAATTGTGAATTCTTGTTTTAGCATGATGATACAATGACCTGCGGTATTTAACATGGTTTTTATTTATAAAAATATATTTTAAAAATTTTCTTGTAAAAATTGTATACAAGTTTTAGTATAATTTTTCTTTCTAAATATGTTCCCTTTACTATATACTCTGGTGAATCGGAATGACATCTTTATTGATTTGCATTAAGGCACATTTTGTAATGCAGTTAATAAAATTATTCTTGTAGTTTTTTGTATGTTGATCCAATTTTCCTCAATTTCTCAGATATTTTTAAAATTATATATATTAAGAAAATAGTATCTATGTCAGTAAATATATTTTAACAATTTTATGGTAAGTATCTTGGTTAACGTCGTTATATGGGATATGTCGCCAAGGTTTCTAGGAGATAAAAATTAGGTGTAAGTACCTTATACGTCAAGAATAGATCCACCGTATTTTTAATAATATGAATTACGAAGACGGCGATAGGGAGATTCAGAAACTGATGCCTAGCTTCTGTACCCAGCTAATCTAAACGGTGATGGTGATTTCTTAGTCTAGCCTTTTATGACTTCAAACCAAATTATAGCCTGGTACATATATTACAGGGTAACAGTATCTTGATGTAGAGAAACATTAATCTCACCCATAAATAACCTCTCATGTCCACTTCACTAATTCATTCAATTGTATAGCTTATGAGATACGCACTACTAATGTCCCATTTTTAACGTTACTACTACCTAACATTTTGAAATGAATTCATTTGCTTTCATATAATTCGCGTCACTCATCCATGGTCATCCCATAAAACTATTTAGGACAAGCAAAAGCTATATTATTATAGCGTTGTTCAAATAAATTTAAAGTATTCCGGTAATAAGAGTTTAAAAAACTTTGCTATTTTATTGAATTGTTTAGCTATTATTTTTTTACTTAGTAGTGCCTATAGGATTGTATCTAAGTCACTAAACGTATTTTTTTACAAATACCTCAGAGGGTTGTATAACCAAATTGTATAAATAAAATATCCACAAAAGGACACTTACACCCTCAAGATTAGTTATCATTGTCTTAACCTAGAGATGACGATTTGGAAAGAATCATTCCATTAAATCGTTATAAATTTTCATCAATAAATGAAACTTGTTTAAGCTGAGATTCTAATGATCTTAAACAAAACGGTGAATTTCAAGAGTTCAAATTATTACTTTTGTTTCAGATTAACTGGATCAACTTTAACGTTAAAAATGGTAAGTTAAATGGCTTTATTAAAAAAGATATTCCAGAAACAATTAAATAAGTCGAGAAAAATGATTTAAGTTCTAACATGGATGCGTGACTTGTCAAATTTAGTGTAGAAAACAATGTATCTATGAACTTATAAATAATATATATATTAATAGTTTTATTAATAATGCACTTTATATATACCTTATTAATTATACTTTGCATTAATATATAGATATACATTTACCTGCTACAAACCTTAGAGTTCCGAAGTCCGAACATATTCCTTCTATTTGAAACCCCACTGGAGCGTAGGTCAGACTTTCCATGTCTCCCTAATGATTTTTGCCCTGGGCAATGGAAAATCCATTCATTGTGTCATTGTATTTTTCTAGGATTCCAACGGTGTGCCGCCCGCTCAGGAAATGGAGACATTTTTGCCTCAACACGAAAAAGGCAAAGAGGTCGAAGAAAAAAAGTAAGTTTCACTTCTTTTAATCGAAAAGCTGTTATACAATAACAAATGTTTCGATAATCATAACAGATCCTAGTTATATTAATTTACCTATTGTTGGAATACGTTTAACGAATACATGAACGTTTTTTTAAGTACATTATTCATATATCTCTATAGTTTTGGCTTGAAAGCTTGTATGGAACTTTATAAACAATCATAGTGGTTTTTACATGTGTGAATTAAAATAGTGAGAGACAAAGCGACACTCTATAACAACCTGCGAGGCTCGAGGAATAATGTTGGGATACTTTTAATGTGTGTCAGGTGATCCATCTGTATCAGATGACATAAAAGCATTATATTGTGTTATATGATCTAAATCGCTTATTATACACAGAATGCAATGTTAACATATTAACATAGTTACGTGTTATAAGCAAGTGTAATTGATAGGCTTCGGGATGATAAAGTGTTTAGTATGGCCTCTCCATCCCTCTAGTTGATTAAAATTATCATGGCTAAAAATACAAATCGATTTTACATGAATCACCACGGTAGTGTTTGTTTAGTTCTTCTTCCTATTGAAAAAGAATAAGGGAATAAAAATTAATAATATAAGCGTACCGTAAATATAAATAATGTCATTAAATCATACTTTATAGAGTTTACAAATTTTGCAAAGCAACCCTGGTTCTAACCAGAATCTCCACCAAAGGCCTTTCTTATATTATATATCTATTCCGTATGTAACACTAGATATATGTTTTTGTTATAATAACTCAATGCGTACTGGTTCACAATCGTAATCTGTCTCGGGCTTTTCGTCCATATTTGAACACCTATACCGAGGTCCTTGAAACTCCCCAACTCTAGAGTTTAATGCAGGTTCTTGAGTGACTTTAAAAAAGTATTAATAGGTAAATTATGTATAATGACTGAAATTATAATTATTTATAGATATACCCTGACAAAAGATGCAGAATCAGGCGAATATGATCCATTCGAAGACAGGCAATTAGAGAATCCTACTTCGTAAGTATTTTTGTAAAGTTAATTTAAACTAGCTATATACAAATTCATATTATTCAAATACCATCTAAGAACGCTAAAACTATGTATGGTAGATTTGTTCGTTCATTTTCTTGATAATTTTTGAAGTTATACTTCAAAAATTAGTTTAAAGAGTGAAATTTTACGATGCGATGAATGAAGTTGCCCACGGAAGATGCTACGGCATTGGACGTAATTTTTTTAAAACAACATTCGAATACAAATAGAATTTATGTTACACTTAATGTAAGAGAATAATAATAAATATTTATTTATTTAATTTATCAAATGTAAACTGAACTTTATTGACTATAATGACTCCTTTTCCAGTCTTTGATTATTTAATTGTAATTAATTATTTGCATGCAATCAAAAACTATTTTTAATAATGCCAAAGAAGTATAACTTCTTACGCACGTACATAAGTACACGCATCCTTTTTATTTGGTACAGTATCTTGGACCTAAAGTCGTCGGTTTGTGTTTAACCCTTAGATTCAGACTGTGACTCCCGTATCTTAAGAACGTTGGAGTCAACGTGTGGAAGCCATTCTTAACGTATATTCATGATGTGTTTGCTCGGAGCAAGTGTTTAATGTGCACTTAGAAAATCCATTGATGCTGTCGGATTTGAATGCGACAGGGATGAAAATAGCACGATGCTTGTACAGCGTTAACCAAAATTCAAGAAGACCTTTAGAAATATATACGTATTTTAATTTAATGTTCAATTATAAATCACCATTCATAAGATTTGTGTATATAAATATAATAATCAACGACCGATTTCAATTACGGGAACAACATACATTGAATCATTTAAATTATAAAAACTGTCTGCGCTTACTGGTTTCTTGAAAGAAAATTGATTCCTATCATAAAAAAAAACTACGATAATTTCCTTGTTAAAACGTAAGCTGTAATATTCTGTTGTCATTGGTATTTATAGTCGGCATTTGTTAATACAACAAAGTTTTCCTTACAATTTACGTATACGTTTATCCTTAAATATGCTGATATAACTAAACTGAAGTTAAGTCCACGTTAAGTCTAATAGCAACAAGTTGTAATAATAAACGGGTATTTAACTCCAACGGTTTCCTTTTTTTCGTTTCATTTGTTTTCTACCTGACACAAAATACAGTAACTGTATTGCAATCCTTAGAATCGTAATTTTAATTTTGCTCAGTGAGGCATATAATTTTAACTGGTCATTTATCTTCGAAAGTGCCTTGCGTGCATTACAATTCGCGCAGCAAGCAGTCCCAATTAACGTAGCTTGTTAACAAAACACAACACTCTGTCTACACTCGTCTTTGTCTCTAGGCCCGCAACTAATAACCATATAATGAATCCTAACCTAACACCCGTTAATACAAAAAAGACGTTAGTTTAGAAATGCACAAAATATTTAATAAAGTACATTTTGAAGTCGTATCTTCTCCGAGATGAGCCAAGAAGGGCATCGTCCAGTTGTAAACCTCCCCTTCAGGTTTTTTAAAATCAGTTATTAAAGAATAACCTGAATTGCCTTGAGCTGAAGGAATTCAGTGACGAAAAAACGTGTAAGCAAAAGTACCTACTCGTATATGTATGTTATTTATAATTAACCACTTATAAATGCAGCGTTAAGTAAATATGTAGTTTGCATACTAAACCCTCTTATATAATACTAATTGTGTGCATTTGAATTGTATAATTTATAAGTAAACAACTTAAGAGCAAATTGTAATAACTAGCCCATTCCGTAAGTAAATAGTAATAAAAATCACACCGCAACATGATTACTCCTAAAGAATCGAATCCGAAACAAACAAAAAATATTCCGGTTTTGACTCAAACTGCCAACCAGCCTGTTGGTAAGGGAATTAAATGGGTTAAAAACTACTACGAGTCGTACCAATTACAACTGGTATTATACGCATCCGGACTTAACGAAGAAACGAACATATATTTTTTGATTGAGGGCCACCTTTAACTGAATTCTTAACCGTGAGTCGAAGCCTTTGCACCAATGGATTTTTCATGTGAAAAGATTGTAAATGAAATCATCTAATCATATATATATATATATATCTTACTCTAGGAATTACAACCTCCACTCACAAGCTTTAAATTTTTTAAATCTTTTTAGTCCCACGGATACACTCGCCCATCTGCTCAAAGCTTCACTTGGCACCGGTATCTTGGCTATGCCCAAAGCGTTTTCGGCTTCTGGGTTAATAGCAGGAATATTCTTCACGATTTTAGTTGCGGTTGTGTGCACTCACTGCGCGTACGTACTTGTAAGTATCTAGACGATCTTATTCATGGACATGTAACTTTAATTACCTTACTCATATAAGTAGTACCCACAAAGTATTTTTAATTAAGTTTTTTAGTATAAGTCTTAGTTACTAGCTCTCGTAAGATTATATGTATTTAGAATTATTATGTAAACGATACTTTATTAGGTTTACAATCTTTATCAATAATTTATATCGGTAAAACTTTTATTATTTGTTTACGAAAAGGCTGCATCATGTATAACAGCAGCGCAGTTCTTGCAACTCTATCAGAGCCCTGCAAATCAATGAATTCGATACCAGCGCTAAATATGATTGAAAATAGCTTTTGATGTTAATGCAATTCAATTAAATCTATTATAATGCGATATTTGAACGGCGATTTATTATATAAATAATTTCTGGCGAATTTAATGGCATTGCGATTTGTGTTTTATTTCTGCTATTGCAATTGTCTTTTTTATAAATATGTATATCAGATCACTCACGATGGTATGACACGTATACAATTATTAAATCCATTATTTTAAAGCGCAGCGAATGATTTTTCGAATAATAGCGATCTCTGTGTTTTGAAAGCAGACATAAATTTACAGATTAAATGCGCTCACGTTCTGTACAAAAAGACGAAAAAGCCAGCAATGAGTTTCCCAGAAGTAGCGGAGGCGTCTCTACTGAATGGACCGGAATGGGGAAAGAGATGGGCGTATTCATTCAGGTATTTTTTCTCTTTCATATATAAAGAAACAATTTACCTTAATTTACTGAGAAAGTATGTATAGATGTTTAGTATAATTACTTCGTGAAATTCAGGGCTAAACTGTTGCTTTCCTTTCGTCAATTAACGTCTGGCTATATTGAAAAGAAACCTATTTTCGAAGTTATCAATTTTACGTATCACAGACAGGATTATGCATTGAGATATTATCTATTTCCATTCCTTAAAATAAGTCAAAAGAACTATCGAATATCTTAAATATATAAAGCACAAGAATAAGTTCACTTCAGTTACATTAGAATAAATTATAAATTATAGAACAATCCTGTAAAAAGCTACGCTTTTATAACTATTACATGTATATCTACTTCCTCCATGGCTTATCACCCAGACAGGTCCAATTCCCTTCGAATGTCCCGTAATCTGTAACTACGAATTGCGACAGTGAAACCTTTCCCGAGGTTTTTATGCCAGTTCGTTTTATTTCTCATTCTTCTTCGTATAATAGTTAAGTAAGCTGTAAGGTTTTCCAAATAAATATCTGTTGTGCTGATGTTTGAGCATTGAGATACAGCAATACAAAAACTCATTGTTGAGGTTGGGATCACTGTATAACTTTTTTATACTTGTACGAGTAAAATTAAATTTATATAGTAACGAATTAAACTTCACTGTTACATTCAATTTTTAATACAATTTTTCTCTTGCAGAATATTTATTTTAACCAGTCTTTTCCTGACATATTTTGGGACCTGCTCGGTGTATAGCGTTATCATAGCGAAAAATATACTTCAGGTACGTTTATTGAAATATATTTACAAGATCAACACTAGCTTATTTTCTTTATAAATAATATATTTTTTTATAAATATTGCCTATCTGTATAGATACTACAAAAAAAAATTTCGTCATTCGTGTATAAATATTTTTAGTGTAAACCCGTTTTTAGAAGTATCATTGCCAAAAACATATAGAAAATCATTTTATTCCAGGTTGTGCAGCTATACATAAAAGGTACGGAGGACTTGTCAATACGAATAATCATAGTATTACTGCTGATCCCTCTAATATTCATGGTTTGGATTAAAAACTTAAAGTACCTGGCTCCAGTATCGATGATCGCTAATTTATTCATGGGCCTTGGGCTCGGAATCACTGTTTACTTCTTAGTGGGCACTGGTGAATTGAATATAGGCAAGGTGGCCCTTATAAAGTCACCCGTAAAGTGGCCTGAATTCTTCTCTCTGACGATTTTTGCTATGGAAGCTATTGGTGTGGTGATGCCGTTAGAGAACTCAATGAAGACTCCAAAAGCCTTATTAGGCTACTGCGGCGTCTTGAACAAAGGAATGTCTGGAGTCACCGTTGTGTACATCCTTCTTGGATTTCTGGGATACTTGCGATATGGAGAAGATGTAATGGACACTATCTCATCTAACCTGGGACAGCCTGGTGATCCCCAAGTGTATATAATGTGAGTGTATTTTTAAAAACTATAAATTATTAAATGATGTTATTCAGTCATTTTACCGTTTCTATAATGAAAGGGCTATTTGACAAGATTTCAAAACCATTTCAGTTTATTTATTAGTGACTTTTTAACGTACACAATTTCATATATTTTCTAATCCTGATAAGTATTGACTTTAAAAATACAAAGTAAATATTTCCTAGTCGCACCAGTCCCTTAAAGGATTAGACCGTCGAAGACATATTATTTAGAAGCCATCGCCATCGTCGATTTGACTAATCGTGAACCGTTTTGTGTGATGCAACTGACATGTAAAAATCAATATTTGTAATTAATATAGATTATTTACAAGTTATTTTACTCATATTACGGCGTCCCTTATCTATATGACCTTAAATTAATTTAATCAGAAAAATATGATTCATATTCCTTATTATTTTTAATTGTGATAATGGTGACCTTCACCTAACTTAAAATTTGTTTATATATCGTTCTTAATATATTGATATCTATTTTCAGCCTTGCCCAAGTGGTCAAAGTGAGCATTGCAATTGCTGTCTACTGTACTTTCGGCCTTCAATTCTTCGTGTGCATTGAAATCATGTGGAACGCCATCAAGGATAAGTTCACCAAGCGGCCTGATTTCGCAGACTACGTTATGAGAACCATCATGGTCACCCTCTGTGTGAGCCTTGCTGTTGCTGTACCATCTATTGGCCCACTTATGAGTGTAATTGGAGCTCTCTGTTTCTCACTTCTCGGCTTAATAGCACCGGCCTTTATTGAAGTCGTCACATACTGGGATATCGGATACGGCCCGTACAAGTATCTCATTTGGAAAAACGTTTTTGTACTCATATTTGGACTATTTGCTCTAATATTCGGTACCAAACTTGCGATCATAGGAATTATCAACGATAGTGCATGAATAGTTTAAATTGTGCACTTTATTAGAATAATTGTATTGTGTGATAGTGAGTAATATTTTAACTAACATAGTATCGAGGTTAGCGACGCTACCATCAGTGGTGCTATTATAGAAACTAAAAGGACTTTTCTAGCAACGATATTAAGCTTGAAGATGCCTAAAGTTTTTACTAGGCACTATGGTATAATTTAAGTTAGGATACTGTGCATGAGGTATGTGGTGTTAAAGCATGTAAAAAATTAAAAGCATTCCGGAATATAAAACAGTGAGATTTTGCTGTGCTTGAAAGAACGCATAATTGTTTGTTAACGGATTTGATATCCAGAGGAATGTCTGTCGTTACCCGATTAGCTCAAGTGATTTATACAAACAAATTATAAGAAAATCTAGTTAATTACCATCAAATTTGAATTACATTGGTCGCAAGTCAAAATTATATTTTAATATGTGCAATTGTTTTCATAATTTCGTTGTCGTATTGTTGCAAGAAATAGTTTGGAATTATATCAGGCACACATAATAATTATTTATTATATTAAACTTCTTGTTAATTGTATGATCTATTGAGTAGATGAATTTAAAGGCAAGATATTTTTGTTTTAATGTTATACTGGATTATAATTTCTTTATCAGCGTATTTTGGTCATCACTTGACAAGTATTAAGCACGTATACATATTCAATTTGTATTAAATTTTCTAATAAAACTGATAGCAATATAGATAATATTGCAGTACAAATTTGTTACAAAATATTTTTATTATGATCAAAATATGTTGTTTAAATGAAAATGTTGGATTTTATAATATTTAATTTCGATGCATTTATTTGGTACATGTACAAATTAATTATGCTCAGTTCATGAGGTAACTTTCTTTTTATTATTTTGTAAGTTAAACCTGAAAACTTTCTATATAGAACTGAGCATGAGTGATTAATAAATAGTATTTATATTATTGTAATAATTGGTGGAATCTTAACACGGATTAGGTCTTAAACTTAGTGCTTCAAGCTTATCTGATCTGGTGAGGTCCTTTACTGTATCATCAGTTGGATATGTTATAGCACTAAGGTTTTTTTGGCTAATTATGCGAATTCCTAATAGATTTAAACTCTACCATGACATCATGATTATTGGGACCGATAATTTGTGCCTTGAATTTTGGGGTATTTTATGTAGTACTAGAATCTAAGGTTTAAGTATTTATCCTCAATATTTAAAGTTCCTAAAACTTGTACGAACATTAAGGTTTCATCAGGTTTATTTTAAGATTCCATCAATTAATTTTGAATGTTTCATTTTAAATCAATTTTATGCGGCAGACTGTATTTTGCCAATAGAAAGCTATCATGAAAACGATTGTTTTAATGTAACGCCCGGGTTCTATGAATGAATGAATGGTAAAGTTTTCTTAAGAAAAGGACAACTACTAAACGCGCTGGACACAGCGACCTTTTCGGTTTAGGAGTACAGATTAACAAATGCTGATAGTTAATGTGTCCTTATATCCGCTCAGTGATCAGAGGTTTACTGAAACCTTTCATCGTTTGTTGTCCTTAATGTGAGACTAAGTTGGTATAGTCCCTAGGGTAATGGGACAGACACATTTATTACAAACCTATTTTTTTTAAATACATTCCAAAAAATCCATTTAGTAATAAAAATCTCGCTTATATCTTTCTGATATCATTGACTAACTTTAGACTTTTCTTAGAAAGTTTCGGAAATAGTTATTAGTATATTTATAAAATTCTCTAACCTAAATTTCTCAGTTTATTTAATCGATTTAGGTGGTAGCACATAGGTGATCAGCCGGCTGCTTCCGTCGACTATTGCCTTGGCTTCTTAAAGTTTTCTTCCTGTAATGTTGTAATGTCGCGCCAGCTCCAGTTTCCTACATTATTTTTTAAATCATTTAAGTGAATAGCATTGGCCTATTATACTCTAACAAGTGTTGGAACGCTAAGTGCGTTAATTAAGCAACGAAGGGAGACACGTTTTATTTAATCTTCATTGTTAGGAAATCTCACTACGAGTGTCATAGAGATTGGGAAATCTAGTGCGTAGGCATCTGGTGGCAATGTTGTCCTACCGCCTTAAGCGATCCTCAACCCGGAGGTATACAAACACAAGACAATTCTTAGAACTAACAATCAACATGTGTCAGATGCCACGCTGATCACCTACATGTATATAAAATGAGTATATGTTTATGCGATCTGTGGCCAAGAACCACATAGGGTTGTTACACTACTAAACTATTATGCTTCCGAGTAATAAAGTAACGTGTGAAGAATCTGTTGGAAACCATCCAAGTTCATTTTAGGACGAAATCAATGTCGCTGTATTTTGGTAAGTTATCACCCTATTGATATAAGATTAGGGGGGTTAATAAAACGAATATTGCGAAATTATATTTTATTTTAAACTTTGCCCACTGGCTACACTTCCAACAAAGCTCCCTGATAGTGTACACTTTGTACACACACAATATACAATATAACTTTGATATTAAATAAACTACAGTAATCAAAATCGTATTAATGTATAGAGCGAGATAATCTATTTTCTAAAAAAAAAGGTTCTAGCGTCGGGTTCTTTAACCTAAATTCGGGCACTTTTTGAAACTTTGAAAAAATAACTATAATCATTAGTAGCAATTACGACCGGTTTTTGGATAAAGAACCCAGACGAAAGGCAAATATCTAGAATCGTTCAGAAACAAATTAAATTTCGTTGTATGAGAGAAAATATACTAGAAATAGAGTTTATTTATTAAATCTCCAATTTTAGATAATCGGAACCGAAAGTTTAAATTTTTATATGTAGTGTATTGCAGCTTTGGAGTTTAAACTTTTTTCTTCTAATTCAAACATAACCTACCAACCAAACTTCAATTATGGAAATACATATAACGATAAATACATATAAGTCTTTCATTTTACCCAATTACATTATACACCGAAATTTGGGTAAAAAAATGAAGGTACTGTTGCATAGAATTAAAATAAGAATTCAAAGGAATTCTCAATTACATTCAGGTTAGCTTAAGTAATATATTTTTGGAACCGCAGTAATTAAAAAAAAAACTTACTAAGAGACCATTAAATATTCTAATGGTAGATTATATGATAATTTAAGTATTTACTACATGGATTTTCGTATATGCACTGATTTATTGACCATTCCTACATTAATACAATATGTAAGCTTCGCCTGTTTGTAGACCTGTGAACGTCTGTTGAACGAAATTGGCTTCGCTGGGAATAAAACCCTTCCAATTTATACCGTGTATGTATGTAGATGGAAAATAGATAATTGGCCTTTATCCACTTAAAAGGAATTAAAAAGTCTGTTCAAACAAATGTTTAATTAGTCTGACAATTGTATATGCTGAGTATTGGTGAAGCCTCAGCATGAGATTCAAAATTTTCTTAAAAACTAAAAAAATAAAAATTTAGAATTACAGAGGTATATATACACTATTAAATAATTTAACTTATAATGATACTTACCAAGACTTTGTCGAATCATCCTACAGCTAATTAGTGGCATTACGTATAACCAGATTACAAAATTAAAAAAGGATAATCTAATACCCTCAACCAAAACAATTGACAATATTTCATTGTTTTTAATGTTTGTTAACGAAAACATAACTTTAAGAAAATTACCTGCTCTCATAACATATAGTTTATTATTATTTCGTAATTTTACTTTCGTTTTATAAGTTTGCAAACGTCAAATATCCTTTTAAAATCATATTGAGTAAAAATTAAAAAAAAAATACATTTACATGTAATTCATATCTCACTCGCCACTAGTCGCGTAAATATTATGGCTGAATGTGAAGACACAACAGAGAGAAGAAGAGTAACCAGCCAAATAGCGGTCCAGCTAAAACCTTAATTCATATGAACACGTAAATTTCTTTCGTTCACTATAATTGAAGGAGAAATATTTAAATCTATTTACTATTAACAATTTCACTGAACTACGTCTAACCGCAGAACATTGTTTATTCGTCCAAATTCGTACGGAATAAGCCACAAATTTGCATGTCTCTATCACTGTCAGATAAAAACGACAAACCATTAAAAAATTGAGGCTTATATGATATGAATACGACGGTTATATTTGTATTAAATATTGTAGATTTGTTTAAGGCCAGCGGAGCACATCCTAGGCTATCCCTCTCATTTAAAAACTATTCATTCATACACGACTATCAATATAAAGCCGTGTATGAATGAATGGGTTTCCTCTTCCAATTGCATTTCTTATCCATTTTAATGGTCACTTCGATATAATATAATAATCATGATACAATGTCATAATAAACACTATGTTTTTTATGACATTGGAACGGGTTTTCTCATATAGAAATCATTACTTTGGTTTAAATAAACACGACTCTGAATAAGACTACGCCATAGCCCATAACAGACAATGCAACTTGTCGATAAAACAGAGCAAACACCAACAAGCGGCCCAGACTCTTTTACCTACGTTTGAACAGATAATCATAATCAGTATCGGTTTTTTGTGACAGTGTGCGGGTGTCGGTTTTTTGCGACGGTGTGAGCGCGCATCGTAGACATTTACTCTCATCATTTTTCCCTAAGGCGGCAAAAGAAGTATACCTTTAAAAATCGCTAGCCAGTTGAAACGTAATTTATCTTTGATTCTTGAATAGGGGCTTACGACAACGACGGTAGGACCGCGGCCAGCGTAGAGGTATATTGGAGTAAAGTTAAAAGCTAAGCACTGACGAGATTCCTTACTTTGTTTACTATGTTTTAAATTTTTTTAGAGCTATCTTAACTTATCTTTGTATATTGGATATGATTAACCTTTGAATAAACGATTTGTATCGTAAAAATAATCTATGCATATTGACAGAAGCGAAATCATCAGTGCTGTAAAGTAAAAGTAAATCAAATACATATTTTAATACTTATATAAATTATAATTTTAACTGTTACTATAAAATACAATATATATAGAAATAATTATTAAAACTCTTCCAAAGAGAGCTCGAGAAACTTTTCTATAATTTATAGTTTTTCTTAAAAATATGGGTAGTGTATAAATAACTTATCTACCAATGTCTGGACTAAACTGTAACAATATCGCATTTATATTATCTTTGTATATAATAATCTATTTTTAGTATTTGTTCTAGCCATCTAATATCAAAGCTATTGATTTGTATTTGCGTGATAATTCGTTCTTGTAGACAAAACACTTTGCTACAGGTGACCTACCGCGGTCTACGCGTCGAGTAATTACGAGAATTTTTCACTTCATTTTATTTGCACACACAATTCAATAGCATTTACAACCATGGACAAGCAGTATATTCGTGCTCCTTCAAACGATTAAACCAGTTAAGGGCATACAATTACTCGTTTATTTTTGATGCCTGCAAAATTTTACGAAGATGTTGCTAGCAAGTGGTTGAATATTATTCGCTTCGCTATAGCATATGGCGTTATTGGAAAAATGGCCGAATCTAGCAATAGAAAACATCGATAAAGCTGTAATAAATGTGTGCCCTTAACACATAGTTTAGTTTTCTGAGTAAGGCGTTTCTATTGCTTTTTTAACTATACTAAAAGAGTATTGAAGAGATTGTGATTGGGTCAATATAATTATATTATTTCGAAAATCGCAAAATAAATTAAATGTTTCGGCTGACTGTTTTAACACCGCTATACGCAGTTTTCAACACCTTTTCACCGTTACAAAAACTAAGTTTTTACTGATTTGTCTAATTTCGCCACAGCATAAGCGCAATGTGACAGAAAGAGAAATTTAGCTTAGTTATTACGAATACTGCGGTAATTGGGATGATTTATTAAGTAAAATAAATTAATTGAGAAAGATACAAGTTAATACAGTACGAATAAAAATACAATGGACCGCAAAGAAGCTTTAGTATGCATTCAGTATTCTATACCTACAGAAAGTTGGTTATGCATACAAAATTTAAATATCTATGTGTGCAATTCGCACAAACATTGACTATTTACAATTTCTAAAAGAGAAATTTATACGTAATATACACTTAATTTAACAGTTATACTGATATTATTGCGTTTCTCACTGAATGGTCAGATAGATTTCTAATATTGAACGATAACATTTCAACAACTATTATACATCTACAGAATTCTCTCAGAAGGGCTCTAGATGGCTGAAATAGGTGCATATAACAAACGTACCAAACGTATTCAAGTAAACACTTCATGGCGTAAGGCCTAACGTGTTTCGGAACTATGCTTAATAAATCACGTTCCGAGACACATTGACCACACTGGGTTCATGTTACGCACTTGAATTTGGATTATTAAGGTAAGTCTATAGCCCAAGTTTATAGAAGATTTATCGAAGTAACCCTCTTAGGGTTCAGAGTCGACAAGTAGCGCAAAGTCTAACTTTACGCTTTAGCCCTAAATTTAGAAACGAGACAGCGCTAAGTCTGACTTCCGTACGTCAATCTGTATTGCATTTTGACATACGGGAAACATACTTCTCTGTAAGTCTCGTTTCTGAATCACACCCTAAGTTCAAAACTTCGACTTTATCTTATTCATAGCGCAAATTAAACGCGCGTACGTAAATAAATTTTAGACGATTGTCATAAAAACTTTATCTTATAGCACCGTTTTCACTAAAATGCATGTATCATATTATATTTTAATTGTCAATGGAGACAGAAGAGCGATTTTGTTTCAAATTGACATACTAAAGTAGTGGTTTAAAGCGAACCAAAACCGAGGCTTTACACAAACTTTCGCTGCTACTGCGCTTCTTTTAAACATACACAATTAGTAAAAACAGTGCGGACTTTAGTTTTTATGACAATGGGATTTAAGGACCACAACGATTACCACTGTTCCTGTTTGAGAAATCGCTTTGCAATAATTTTGGCATGAAACCTTTAGTTATGCAAAGATCAACCACAAAAGTTGAAGTTTACTATGGCGAGTTAAATGTGATACTTGTCCACATGCTTATATTTCATGTAATGTGTATAAGATTAATGAAATCTTATCATAACATAATCATGGTTAGTCTGTGCTGAAAGACAACCGTCGTGGCATTTAAGTTTGACTTCTTTACCATTGTTATATTGACAACAATTTTTGATCATTATTTATATGCTTAATTTGAAAACACTAAAGTATATAATTTGTAAATAAATAAATAAATGACGCGTAGCAAGTAAGAATAATATTAGTTCGCATGACCTATTACATATTACAATAAATTGTAAGCATTATTCGATTTATGTATATGTTGAGACTTTCAACTTGTGTAAAGCACCTAATCCCCTTATTCCTAAAATTCTTTTGGCGCGGATTAAACTAACATTGTGTTGGAAAGAGATGAAACAGTATTTTGGTAAAATGTATTTGGACAGGTTGTTTATGAATATAGGCTTGCGTGTAGCTAAGAGAGATCAGGCTTTTTAAAGTTACGGTACAATTTTGTTGCGTAATTTTTAATTTCCTTGAGCGGCGATGTGAATCGAGTCTAACGGAAAGCTAGTGGCTCGCGTATACTACAGCATTTAGCATTTTGTGACCGTTAAGTGACCATATCTAAGGCGGCTTTTAATTTAATATGTATTATTATGAAAAGGGTACCTAATGCTCATGTATATTCGGTATAATGATGTATTTTATTCGATGCAACCGTATGCAACAAATTCGTTAAATATTCCTTTTAACTTTTTGATTTACGTTAAATTATTTCTAACCTAAATCCGCTTGTTACACTGTAATTAAACACAGATAATTACTTCATTTAAAACGTAGCTTACACTGATTAATTTTTTATAGGGAGATAGATTTCCAATATAGTACACACTATTTTAAAGAACTTGGACGTAATACTTATTTAAAACAATACTGGCATTACCGCGTCACAGTATATGGAATGAACGAAATTTGCATTCTTAAATAATATTGAACCTTTTATATTATTTTTATGCCACTAAATAAACGCAATATGTATATAATAAAAGCCTTATTTAATATCATAGATTCCCGAATGAGATTCAATATATCTTTGTGTGATGATACGCCCGGAATCGACTATTGGAGTTAATAATTCTTCGGATGGCACTTGAATTCTTATAGTATTTTCAGTATTAGTTGACCCGTTCGTAGCATAAAAACCTAGAGAGGTGGGCTTCTGTACATCATATGACTTGTATTTCGAAGGACTTACGGGCCGTAAGTGCGATGGGCTGGCGGCTAGTGGGCTATAAGTGACGTGAATACGAACAACGTCCTCCGAAGTTGGTGAAACTGAAGATGGATGTGGACTTCCACGCGGGGTTGAATGGACGGTCTGCCTTGGCGTAGACATAGCTCTTTGAATGCTTAAGCCGCATATCCCGGACCTGTGGAGAAGCATGGTAATCAGGCGACATTCGGATCTAGGGTTTAGCTAAGCTGGCAGTTCCCAAGAAAGTATACCCCAGCAAAAGCTTATGGTTAATGGTATAAGCTCAGTATAGAAAGCTTTAGCCGATGGAAACAAATGTAGTTGCGTGATATAAAACCATAAGTAGTCTAAGTTAAATTGCATAAGGATGTTATTATATATCTGGTAAACAGCCCAGTGACCAGCACCGGCACTATAACTTCCTATAGCGATAACGACCCCGACGTTTTTGTAAACCTCACAACGTCCGTAGCGTTGATTTCGCAGCCTAGGGATCACGTAATACAAATACTCAACATTGAAATAGCAATACAATATTGAAATCCTCATTTTAAAAATCACATAAATTTGTACAAAGGCCCTGTTCGATACAATAGACGGATCAGTCAGAGAACAAATAGTGAGATGTTTGCAGTCTAAGTCATTGGTTGTATAGTTGTATTCTAAAATGAGTGAAGGCACGATAAGCAGTATCTCTATAACAAACGCCCAATTTCATGTTTTAAAGCATATTATTGTTACGTTATATGTTGTCGAAATAAGACACAAATCGCTTTCAATAAGGCACCGTAATTTCTCGTAAAGCGTTAATATCATTCGGCAGTTCAAATATTGCGAGCTTAAGCTATGTATGAACTGATAAAATCCCCCACCACTATAAAATACCCCAAAATTAGTTTCAATGATATAATGAATCAAACGCGAAAGTTTCGATTAAATAATTGGGATATAAATAATTTACTTTAAAAATATGTTTTTCTCATAGTAGATTGATCGGTATTGCTCAGTATTTAAATCAGTTATTGTTAATTCCTTGATAGCATTATATATTAGCGTCTGGACAAACCACGTACCCGCATTCACCCAACAACTTTAGTATTTGTGCAATATGAGGGTAAAACTATAGGTACTGAACGTAGATTATTTTATAGAAACTAATACTCATCCGCTATTCAACCTTTGACAGTCGTTCTTATCTAATCCATTTGGGTTAATAAAATTTATTTAGCCTATAAATTCTAGAGGTATCTCTTATTTTGCTATAAAATTCAGGGTCATGTAAAAACACGGAATAAATAAAGATATCTGTATTGAGGCAGTGGCATGTGTCTAAAGCATGTGATTAAACAATCATACATGAAATGAAATGTAAGCGGCTCTATGGCGTCTATGGTTCTAGAACGATAGGCTTATCTTAGATTTATTCCGTGTATGTCCATACGAATCAATTTACTAGTGAACTGGGTCATTGAATCAGGCGTTTGAGAGAACTGTTTCAGTGGGCAGGGTGACGTGACCAACCTCCCCTGTACGTGGGCATTTCCACTTCGTTAAGACACGGTCTTCTTTGAGTTCGACCTCCAACTCTGCCATCGTGCCGCTTTGTAACGTTCCTTCTGACCCCACCTTAAGCGTATTCATACGATATAGGCTTACGTATAAACTTGCTACAGGCCTCAAAGACTATGAATGTTTGTTTGCAACTAGATGACAGGTACAAATAAATAAAACTGATCCAAGCGCGATTTATATTAAATTAGAGTCGAGTGTAGGGAAAACATCCGCGATATAAAATTCGCGTTTACGGTTAAGTTTCGTTTAAATGTGTAGTAAAGCAATTCCTTGCGTAACCGTTTTACTATTTTACACTTCAAATACGTTATTGAATAAGGGAGTTAGGCGTGTATAAATAAATACATTCAATAAATATACAATCGTATCGACGAATATGTTTACGGCTGATAAGATAGAAAAAGTTTTAACAGCTAAAACAAGATTTTGCTATCTATACGTGCAACACAATATTAAAGTTCAAAACAGATCAATCACCGAACTTTTTATAACTATTACTTTAAGTTTAACCAAACGTCTAAAAACTATTTATATTTTGTCATTAGATGAAATATTTACTCCGACACTTTATGTTATACGTTACGATAACGATTGATAATTCAAATTAATTAGATACAAAAAATTGTTATCATGTGTTTCGTTTTACAACATACAGTATAAACTCTATGTAACATCAGTCGATATAAGGACAAATTCTTTTAAACCATCGAAATTACTCGATATCTTTTGCCTTGTTACCAACACTATGCAGGCCCTTACTAAATAGCGACCACAATCTCATTACTCGAGTAATTTCGATAAATTCTAGTTCTACGATACTATTTAGACTGTAGGTACTTTCTAAATTGCATTGAACATTATTCATAAAGTGTCGTAGTTTGTGAAAAGTACTGTACACCAAAGCGAATAAAATTTAAAAAATATTAGAACAATAGGCTTGAAACATCTAAAGCTCTTAAAAGTTACATAACGGTCAAAAAGAACTCGGATATGAATAAATAATTTTGAAGCGTAAAGCAAGTAATAGTACTTTCGCAAAATAAACACATTTATTGCATGAATAATAAAGTCCGCAAGATATATACAATTTAACGGCCACAAAAGTCTTAGGTGACTTGTGAAGCACGTTCAACGAATTGAAAGCGGGTCCCCTAATTGAAGAATAACTATATTACAGATTTATAAGGAACTAAATTAGTTTCAATGTAAATAATTTGCCTAATAGTAAGGGCATAGTTGGAGAAGGGCATGGAGGAGGCCTTTGCTAAAAAAGAACACACCACCTAATAGAAGATTGAAATAGAAACGTGCTTAAATGTAAATGAATCTAAATTAAAAGGCTATTATTATTATAAAGGGCATAGCTCTCAAACGGTTAAGTTTGTTCATCAATTTTTTCATTTATACTAATAATATAAAGAGGTAGTTTGTGAGGTTAGGAGTAATCTCTGGATCTACAGTACTGAGTTTGAAAATTATTCTACCAATAGAAAGTCACGTTATTTGAAATAGTTGTTTGTTTGATATATTAACCCGAAAAATGAAAAACTTTTTCATAGTATTCGAGTTAGCATAGTCAGAGAAAAAACGGTCGAACGAGAACGTTTTATACAATGGCTGCCCCAACGATGAGACAGATATGATTGAGTTCTAGAATGTAAAGATAGTGCCTACAAAAGTCAGCGACAGCATGTCTATTATATTATACAAAAAGACGTCCTACGCCTAAGTATATGTGTCTGTCGATAAACAGAAACACTACAGCACGAAATTCAACAATTTCTATTAATATATATATATATAATGATTCATGAGGCTAAACCTTCCTCATAAAATCTTAAAGGTTTACGGGTCACGGTTGCCGAGCCCGGACGGGTCGCTAGTAGTATAATACCTACTACTTCAAGGACTGTTATTCTGAATCCCTGTCTAGCTAGAAACTTATTTGCTAGCAAGAGTTTACGTTTTTAATGTATAAGTTACTCATTGATAGACAAGATTAGCGTGAAAAGGTCCGCTTTGGCGTACAGCTCTCTAATCTAGCTCTACATAAAATCTCACCCATCTGACCCGGTAGCGTCATCGCTAATGTTGCTATGTGTATCTAATGAATTCTCTGGCGCGTGGGACCGTCCACTTGAGAAAACACTCAAATCCGCGGTGCTGGTTACACTTGTGTCCGCTAGAGAGCGTCTTGATCCAAGCACAGATAATGAGTCCTCGCAACGGACGCCGGCTACTGTGCTGTGCTCTGAAATTACCATTTACCTTCCTATAAACTATGATATAAATCAAGTCTGAAGATAGTATATACACAAACCGATTAAAAACCATGAAATAACACTAACCATTATTCGTGCTATAAGCCTCAAACAGTATTTTTTTTGTTTTATTTATTCTCGAGTTCTGTTAAAAGAATAAAAGGTGGCATTTTATGTAGTTGAAGCTTATAGTACGTCATTTAAAGTCGTTACAATATTGCTTTTTTATTAAGGGCAGAAATTTATATTGTATCTTTATATAGCTTTCTCATAAATGTAGTTAATAATAAATGAATAAATTGTTTCAGAAATTCAGTGGACAAAACAGTTATTTCTGTCAAGATGGCGCAAGACTGTTCACCTACACAAAACCCGGCCTTATTAAGGCGGTAATCGTTAACCACGATTTATTATGATGTAAAATAATGAAGTATTTGCTTTAAAAAGTTAATTTTCTTATTAACAAACAATATTTGGTTAATACATGTTATTTATTATTCGCGTCAGATAACGATATCAATTATAACTTATAGGCATGTTCAATCGTAGCTTTCCTATCGAAATTAAATTAGGAAAATCGAGGCATAAATCTTTGCTTATACAGGCCATTTTACTCGTATATTTTATCAACTAAATAACTACTGTTAGGGACTACTGACTAATACATGTGATTCATTATGTTCTCCAATACTTGGCGTTTTCAATTCAGACACAAAACGACAATTATTTTATGAAAATTCAGGTCTATCTACCAAGCAACGAAACTATTATCAATATTAAACTACGAAAAGTTTTAATATTTTACATTTTAATTAAATAAATAAATCCTAAGTTTCCACAACCTTGCATAGCAATTAACGTTTATATCTTATTTAAAACCCAGTCGACTGTACTACGAATGGTTGATATTTCTAAACACTCCTACAGAAAAATCTACGACTCGTATATGCACCTGTTTTTTTGGAAAACCAAAAGTCAACGATTTTTCAACGTATCTAAAACATAATCAGCATGCAGGCAAAAAAATAAAAACTTACCAAAGCTTAAACACGTACAATTTTAAGCAACAAACTGTGCATCATGCTCATCAAAAAGAAAATCTCTGCTCTATACCATTATTTTTATTTATAACAAACTTATTTTTAATTTGTCTTTTTTTATTAAATAACTCGGAGGTTCGAAAAGCGGATTAGGGGCGAGAATATTCATTGACGCTTGAGAAGTATGGAGAGGGAGCTTACATCTCTCATCTGTAAATAAACATCTTTAGCGAGCACTCGTTACGCCTAACTTCTAAATTTTAATTAACATTATTTCCAAACAGGATCTGTCATTAATTTGTGTGAAAAATGAAATCTCATGCGTTAAGTAAAAAATTTATTATAAGAACTTCAACACTGTACCTATAGGTACATTAAAAATTATATAAGTTCTTAAAAACTAATTGTGAGTCTTGGGGGTGGGTTTATTCGTATACTGAGCAGAGATTTCCAAAAAGCGCGAATGAATAACATGAAGTCTTAGTTTATTTGTTAGTATGCGGTCCGCATATTCTAGACGTTAGTAAACAATTAATGACATAAACCCACCTCCATATAACCCACACCATGCCAGTGCATATCATGTATCACCCCCGCAGTTAGAACGAGGGATTTATTATCGGCGTCGTTTATACACTATTTAAATTATTTTAAGCTCGTCTACTTCAAGCAAAGGAGTAGTAGGTAGTAAGTATAGGAGAAATCCAAACTTTTGTATAATTATATTATTGAAAATGAAAAGAATTATTAAATGCTAACCACGTAAACAAATCGATATTTAAATTGTGATAACAGTATTTCCAGTGTCTTTTGCGCCGTATCATGACATGCCTGACATTCCCGTTGTTTAAGTGCGGAGGTAACATGTTTAACCCACAGTGATAAATGGAATGAAACAAGACTTGGCAAGCGAACAATAGACAATTTTATGTGAAACTTAATTCGATACTATACAATAATTAACATGAACAGTAATTGCTAATTAAGTTTTAAGATGGCATAAATAAAAACATATTTACATGCATTTGAGTACTTAAACAATACAAAAAAATATCGTGTAATGGCTTCGATTCGTACTTATAATCTAGGTGGTTAAGGAGACCCTGATTTTTATTATTAGTAACAAAGCATATAATACTATCGATTTTATAGAGTTTAACCGTATATATTTGAAAATTAAATAATCAATTGGCACCAAATACTGCAGCATGTTCATACATTCTGGTTGAGCCACACATTATTACATTTTTAAATATTCTGCCACATAACGTTGAAAACTTTTAAAAGCCTACTTCACCCCTTGGCGTGTCATTTTCTCTTACTTTATAGATTACTTTAAGTGGCTCTCGACCTAGATAGTGAAATGTTAAATCATGTCAAGGGCCCTTTATTTTGACACAGAATATAAGACAAGATAAGCTTAAAATGAGAACTAGGGAAGTGTATAAATTGTCTTTCTATCCACAATTTGCAAAGTGATTTTCATTTGTACTCTAAGAATGATCACAATAAGTTGACACATTAAATTATGAATTTAATAAGTACAAACATTATTTATTTGCAACCATGTAACTAAATACTAATAAACTGCCACTCGTGATCACTTAACAATAATATCAACTAATTTATATCATGCAACTGAGTATCTCGTACGATCTATGTTCCTATCTACAAAAGTAATATAAAAAGCAAAATTAACTATGATGACACACTATTAACAAATTAGTGAGATTCCGATAAGAATATACACTTAAAAAAATTAATGAAATACAGAACTAATTAAAGTTTTCGATTTTGACGTACGCTATTCATAGTTAGTAAGTCTCGAATCTTACCCTAGATAACGGACATATATTGCTTTTCATTCAAAAGCCAAAGTTTCTGATTTCGTGTGTCACCAAAATTAAATTAAAGATGTGTGAATTTATCTGAGTTTAATGATACTATTGAAGATGCTTTCGATGAAGGTATAGACGCGTCTAAATTACCTGAGACCGTGTCGCTTTGAGACACCCTGAGCTCCTGCAACTCTACAGCTGCTTTTTCACGTCTGTAAAAAATCAACTACAGTTATGGCAAAATATGTGTATCATAGCATAAAAGTATTGAAAAGCTTTCTTTTAACTACCATGCTCGTTTTCTTATTTTTCAACATGTATTGATTAAAACAAGCACATGGAAATAGGAACAGAAGTGGAGCAAGAAAGTACTAAACTGGTGCCCAAGGTACAATAAACGCAAAAGAGGAAGACAATTTAGAAGGAGGTACATGGCAGAGAGTGGTACAGTGCAGACAGAAAGGGCACACAGAGATAATAAATATAATTAATGTGTTTAAGTGTAAAAGGATCCGAATATAAGGCCATTTTTTTATGTGTATCTTAATTCATTAGGAAATGTAATGCTAATGAGAACTAAAAAACTATATCCTTACTGCTCATTGAATCTCATGCATCAGAGCATAGTATAAATACGTGTTCAAAATGCTACAACAAGTTTCTCTTAAAAATACTCATAACTAACTAAGAACTAGAAATTTGTATTCATAGTTAGTAAATTTAATTAAAATGCCTCCTGTGTATAGCAGAAGGTTAGTTAACCTGGCTGCAAGAATTTGAAAGCATCACTATTCATGGCGTAGTCAGGTTTAAAGGATGAAAATAAATATTTGTTTAATTGATCGTAATATGTAAGCAGTTTTAGCAAATGCTTTTTATGACTTATACCCGAAACAATTATTCCTATCTAACCTTGAAATATGTTAAAGCGTTAACAAGTAACCTACAGAAACTGTTTACTACCTTAGAATCACAGTAGCCCTAGCGTGTTTCTCCGTATCAGAGAAACTTTCGGCTCGCTGACCAATTTTGGATTTTTTATCCGGCTCAATGAAAACTCCAAGTTGCCTTTTAGGTAACTCATTCGGTGGTGGTAGACCAGGGTAGTCCAATTTCGCCCGCTTCAATTCTTCCATGGATCGCTCTAAATTGTAGATAACTATGTCATCTTCATAACCAAAGTCTTTATGCAGTTTCACCTAAAAACACATGAGAATCAGATTATGTTTTTCATTGTTTCTATGTTGACCATAAAAAATAATGAAATTATTTTTCTCACAACTTTTGTGTGAGACAATAGTTATCTTAATGATTTTTATTAACAATTTCCTACATTTTTAAATTGTTGAAATGATTCAAAAAACTTACTTGAATGTAATTCACAATAAGATCCATATCATTTAACTTCATAATAGCCTTTTTGTGAAGCTTAAGAATTGTATACGCCATCGCAGTTATAACACGTTCGCCATCATGTAAAAATATATCCCAAACTCTCAAACATAAACTAAACGGTACACGTTCAACAAAACAAACAAAATACCACTTTAAAGAGTATAAAATGGCATCCAATCCATACTTATCAAAATGGAATTTCAACTTAGGCATAAACTTTGTGAGTATCTTATCATGGTGCTCTAAGAACCTAGTTAATTTAGGGAAACCTTCAATATACAGCCCATGCATGTTATATTTTTTTTCTGACAGTAAAATGGCTAATGCCCAGAATGCATCCTCTTCATCCATATACATAAGTAATACACCAGCCAATCCAGACATGCCTTGACAGTAACCAACTTCAGTATTGTACATGCTATAAGCACATAGAACATTAAAAAGTGAACATTGTTTTTCAGAGTATCGTTCTCGATAGAATTGATGCTCACGAAACTGCCTGTTTACATCGGAATCTATTTGTCTGACATCAGTTGACCAAATTTTAGCTAATTTCAACATTTCTTGATATTTCCCTGGGTTATCTGATTTTATTCGATTAACATCTAAAAGTTTACACCATATTTTAATTCTTAGAGAATTTGGAATGCCTTTATATATTCTTCTATGTAATTTTTCCTTTGTAGCAGGAGAATCCCAGGATGCCAGCATCTTAACCCATTTCTTCTCCCTTTCAACTTCAACATTAATCTTTTGAGGCGCCGTTTTTCGCGGCAAACGCTCATCGTGGATGAAACCATATCTGAAAGTAAAACATAACTAGTTTATGGGGAATGAATCACATATTCTTTGATCTATTAATATTTGTTTTGGTTGTAATATCCATCATTCCTTCTTATACTCTTGTCTTAAAATAGTGTTGGAAGTCTGGCATCACCTACTTAGCTAACTCAGAAATAACACTTCGGATCTATCTTATTTTACTTAAAAAGTTACCTTCTGTTCTTTGGTACAATTATAAAAAACTACAATTTTGAGTCCAAATTAATATAAAATTCGCTATAAGTAATAATATTTTAAGCAAAATCGCAAAAGCTTATACTATTCTTTATTCAAGGATGCACATTATAGTAAATATTGTTTTTTGCCTTTACTTATTTCAAGATTAAATTAATATAATATGTTCATTCTAACAAATTGCAAGTAAACATAAAGTTTTATCTAATCATTACAAGAGAGAAACCTGAGACTTTCAAGCCAAAACAATTAGTTCCACATTCCAGGAAATAATGTACACTGTATAATATGTAGCACTATAAATTTTTGAGAAACAAAATAAAGAATTTTTGAAATTGAAATTTAGTTCCCCAGTGGGAATTGAATATAGCACCTGAAACATAATAGTCAAATATAAATAAAGCTAATGTAGAATTAAAAAATATAGAATGTCAAATTGTGAGACATATGGTTAAAGAAAGTATGAAACTTTCTCTTTGCATACCTCAAAACAAGTTTTTCTGCTTCGCATGGAACATATTATGTACATGTTATATAAGACAAAAGGGTTTGATAACTTATGTTAATAGTTTACTGATCATATCAAAAATATTTAATTTGCCAATTTGTACAACTTAAGTTTAATCATAATAATTTTACAATTATAATACTGAATGGTAACTACAATAATCAATTTCAATTTTAAGTAAAATTTTAATTAAGTTCACTTAAGGAATTTAATTCTACAGTAACAGAAATTTAAAGGAAAATTCTTAAGAAATTTTCCTCATTGTAATTTTACTATAAAGCACAAAAATAAACTTCGCTGAGCTCGTAAAATATGCAATGTATTTGAATAAATAAATTTTGGAAACTTAGTGGAACAAATATCAAATTCTGTATGATTGCATATTGTATGATTGCATACTTTATCTGGATGTTATTGAAAGAGGTTAACAATGAATATATGAATACATTTGAAAAATTTCCAGGTTTTGATGAGATTTCACAGTAGAAGTATTTTGATACTTCCAGTCTTATATGGATTCTTAATATGGGTACAATACTTAATTTACATTAACTATTTATATACTTAACAAATAAGAATATAAATTATATTATAATTAATAATGAAAAAGGTCAGTCACAAGAAGTAATTACTTACCTATCAGTTTTGTGATAGTCCTCGAACTCTGGATCTTCCCACGGGTCGATTTGACCGACGAGATTCTCTCTGCCGCGTTCGTATCTCTGAAAGATACGCTCCCGCTCCTCGGAAGCCCGTGCCAACAGAGCCTCCTCATTCATAACACAGGCTGACTTTGCAGTCGTGCCGCATACCGACTAAACCTAATACACTATCACTTAGTTCTTCTTAGAAATTCGCAATTAACATACATCACTACATGGCATATTCGATTATAAAATAATGTTATTTAAGGTGTTTTCACGCCCTTTATCTAATCATGTTGGTCAACAGGATACGAGATAAAGGATCAGAAATACGCAACTAAAATTGGTTTTACAGTTATTAAAATTTTTAAAAATTCATAATACTTAAATACTCTCACTAGGTAGTTGAAACCAAATAAAAATGTAAAACTTATTTTTCAAGTTTCCGATGTATCCGGATGTATAGCAGCGGCCATCACGGATAACCAAAGAGTATAGCAATAGCTAGTAAATGGCCGAGACTGGTACTTGGAGTTATTTCAGCCATTAATTTTAAAATGTGTTTATCTCTTTCGTCGAATACAACAGTACTATATTCAGATAGAGACAAAGTTATATTGCACACGTCGTACCATAAATGATCAATATTAAATTTGTATATGTTGACAAGGGTTCCATAGCTATTTCTCACAGAATTAGAAAAGGGAAACAGATGACAAATGTTTGTTTGCAAGAATAGATTTTGACATATCACAGACTCAAAAATGGGCACGGTAGTGACATCTACTTTTTACACACGAAATATTGGTTAGCTATATATTTTGTATATGTTTCCACTTCCATAATTTATTATTATTATTTAGTGATTTTAATTACATAATTTATTAAAGCGTTTTCGTGCAAGGGTTGCCTTTTAAAACTTAATGGAATAACTGCAAAAAAATATTGCTGATCTCAAGCTCATCCACTTATAATATATTGAAAATTAAAATGTACTAATGGGTGTGCCATCATGATTGCTGCAACAAATCAATTATTTATAGTTTCTTCTTACAGAATAAATATATTTTTTTTAATTTTATGGCTTGGTAATAAATTTTTTTTTTCCATAGACATTTTTTTAATTTTAATAAAGTTATCAATTTGCTAAATCTACTCTAGCCTATTTCAATGAAAATAAGAACCTGAACCAGTCAGAGACTACACAGTACAGAGACTACACAGTACAGAGACAAAGCATTGAACCAGGGTAGGTAAATCAATAATGTTTTATTGCTCATATATATTACCTTAGAATAAATGTATTATGACAAAGATAGAAATTGTTGTTTAAGTAATAATATAATTAAAAGCTTCAATAAATTCTTTTTCAATTAAATTAACTGCTACTAAATAAAAATAAATATTTCGTATTATTTTTTTAATATTTATTATTATTATTTTTATTATTATGATATAAAGAAAAAAGGCATAAAAATCCGGAAGTACCTACTGCTGCTCAGAATCGGGCAAAAGCATTTGCACATCATATGGTACATATAGTAAAGTGGGCAGCACTACCTGAAAACTTTTATAAAGAGGATCCTGCCGCCAGATGAGGTCGCCTATTGACGCAAGTGTAACTGTCATTAAAATTAAGAGAATCTTGGAAACCAAATCCAAAAGGAAACCAAATTCAGTGTCGACATTTGGGCAGGCATTTAAAGATTATCTTGAACTACTTTAGATGTAATCCTTCTCCAAAAAAGAGCCAAGTTTGGTCAGTTTTCCTAAAAGGAGAAGATACGATTCGTAATGCTCAAACACAAACTGGACTAACTATTATATATTGACTAGAAAGACATTTACTTATATGATATATTTACTACTATGTAGGTTAAGAATAATGTAAATAGTATATATTTGTGTGTTGGAATTAAAGATTTTCATTATATTATAATAGATATACTCGTATATAAATCAGTCAAGTAATTATTAACTTATTATTAGGTGATTTAATTCGTTTTACAGAGTTGCGGATCAGGCACAGTAATCTACATTTTTGCTTGCTTTGCTTTTTTTATTTTTTTTTAGCATTGGCCTAGTGGCTATAGTGTGGGACTATCTCTGAGGTCGTAGGTTCGAACTTCGCCTGTGCACCAATCAACGTTTTGTGCATTTAACACTCGCTCGTACGGTGAAGGAGATCATTGTTAGGAAACCAGCATGCCTTAAGGCTATATTACACCGGGGCAACACTGTGTATTTAGTGGCAAGAACAGTGCGGCATGGCAAACCTTGCGTCATGTGGCAGACTGTCACAGCATGTATTTGGGCACAATGGATTCCATGCGTCAAATCAGTTCTTGGCAAAATGTGCGACATTTTTAACTTTGTAGCATGCGGCCTTGTGACATGCCGCACAGTGTTGCCCCGGTGTTAAATCCTATATTACTAGGCTTAAGGCTGGATGATGCCGAGGCAACAACGTGCGACAGTGGCGCATGCTACACATTGCGGCATGTGGCACCTAGTGGCTTGCTACAATTAGAAATCATTTGTGGCATATGTGGCATACGGCAGCCTATTTTACGCCGAGGCAACATCGTGTCTGGATTATTTCCAAAGCATTGTGCTGTTTATGGAGTTACTGGTCTACCTATTAACTTTAGCATTTATTTGGTACTACCCCTAGCCATGCAGCTAAACAACGGAAAAAGAAACGTTGGTGGAAAAGAAGACTACTTCAGAATGGCCCACGGACTAGTTTACTCACAAAAACTATGGCAGGCCATAGTGCCTTATTTAAAAACTTTACCAGAGTGTCAACTGAGGACTTTGAGGACTTTTTATTTTATTCTTTTTTTTATTTTTTAAGTCTAAATATTTTTCACCACTTCATGACCGATTATTCTCAGTTTCCAAAACAACCTACAAACTGTTGCGACGCATGAAAAATGTCGCATGAAATCCATTGTGCCTGGATACAAGCTGCGACAGTCTACCACATGACGCAAGGTGTTGCCGTGCCGCACGGTTTTGCCACAATGTGCGACATTTCTTTTTGTAGCATGCGACATGCTGCTATTCCGCACAGTGTTGCCCCGGTGTAATATAGCCTTAAACGAACCATTAGACCCAAGCAGTCGACTTTGTGTACAGTGGCGTAACAATAGGGTGGCAGGGCTGGCAAAATACCACGAGCCCCCGACCCTAGAGGGCCCCTGCCCAAGAGATATTATGTTCTATGGATGAATGTGAAGTCTCCAATACGTATGGGCTAGAGTGGGGACTACAGAACATTCCCTCTCACCTAAGAGAGGAGATCTATGGGCATCAGTGGGACATATACAACGTATGAGTACGCTGAAAATCTCGAAGTTTATTAAAATTAAACTGAGTGGAGACGATTTTACTAATAGGGCCCCATCAAAAGAATTGCCACAGGCCCCAGATGGTATAGTTAGCCCACTGGGTGTGTGTCAGGCACTTAAGGCTGTTGCTACTTGCCTATTAGAAAATACAAATGATCACGAAACAAAACACAAATCTGAGGCCCAACCTTAAAGGTTCAGCGGCACTGAAATAAATGTGCGAAATATTTATCCTGAATTAATTTTCGTTTCATTGGGAATCGTAGTATATTGTAAATAGATTTGCGAATTTTATTTATCGCAAACCATAAAAATCTGATGTAGCCTTATACAATCTACGCATATGTTTAAGTTAGTTACTTAAACATTCAGTGTTTACATATGCCCAACAATGAGGGCTGTAAGAGGATTTGTTTTAAAATAAGTTTCATATCAATTAACTGTCACATTGCACGTTCATTAAACACCAGTAAGCGGCGACAGGTCACAGGTGACTGCACTTGAAATGTGTGCAACAATTCTCTTTATTTCCTTGCTGTTCTGTACATCTATCGCGAAAAGAGAGAAAGACGACAGGTTATACGACGATCTTAACTATGTAAGTACAAAATACAATGTTTCTCGGCCAACTACCACAGGTCGGTCTCTGAAGGGGGAGATGGTTGTAGAGAAATTTGTTGACACATTGATGGCAAGCGAAAGATACCTTAAGATGGTAGAAACTGTAGAAAAGAAGATCAGTCACCTCGATGCAACTTTTCACGATAGAACAAACAGCATATTGAAGTATTTAGCCGAACTCTTAAGGGTTGTCAAGGCACCGCAAGCAGAAATCATGGAGGACACCTTGAGATCGCTGAAACTTGACTTGGAAAGGTTGAAACAGTCCGTGACTGAGAAATTAGCACAGATTCCGACAATGCGAGGTGAGATAATTTACGATTAAGTGAACACGATTTGCTATTTACGATTTAGCTATTTGGTTAATGGAACATATTTCTGCGCCTGTACTGATCTTGGTTCTGATTTAATTATCGCCTGGGACTCAAACTCCGTGGCGAAGGTGATTATTTGACAGTTAAATACGTATCCTAGACCTATAATGTTTGATTACCAGTGAATTACACAGTAGAATGTTTCTCTTTTTACCGTTAAAATTGTCTATTCAACAGGCGCAGAAATGTAACTTATTACCCAGTAGTGTTTTGAAGTAAATTATTGTTTTCTTTAATTTAGTATAAACACACAACGTATACATAATTATGTCGTATCGAAACAATTACTCGTCACAGGCAAATCATCTAAAAGGTATTCATATAGAAAATGTGTTTTTGTTTGGTCGCTTCATTATTTATCAACTATCTTCGCTTCGAAATTTGACATGCTCCAGTCTTCGATCAACAAACACACTAGCTACTTCTCAAAATGTTAGTGAAACAGTTTTTTCTTATATACCTCTTAAGCTTTTTATGTGAAGCTAGGAGTGAGAGACATGGAAAGCACAAGAACGACCACGGCGACAAAATGTTGTGGAAAAACGAATATGAAAATGAATTAACCAACGCAATGATAACTTCGAAAAAACATAGAAATTTTACGCGGGTCCCACAATCAGCATCCGACAGTGAAATGGTGTTAGAAAAATTGTTGGAATCAATTACGTCTAGTGAAAAATATTTAAAGAAAGTTGATAGCATAGATTTCAGACTAAATAGGTTAGATATAGAGGTACACGAAAAATCTAATAGTATTCTTAAATACTTAACTGAGATCTTTAAAGCTGTCCAAAATTCAGGATACTCTGAGAAGATGGAACCGGAATTAGATAGAATAAAGCAAGATATAAGTGATATAAAAAAATTATTTGATAAGAATCTACGAGCGAGTGATAAGGGTAAATAATTATAAGAATATTTCTATCTGCGCCTTCTCTTGCTATTTGGTATATGGTAGTAGTTATACACATACGGTTTATTTATTTAATCAGACAAGATTTTGTTTCACAATGACTACTAAGTTATATAAATGCAGGTTAACTTTTTAAACTGATATGTATACCTATCCGAACCCCTGACCGAAGTCGTATCGTACTAAACATACAGCTCTAAATTATGAGATATTTAAAATGAACCGTAACTCAATCCAGAATTAGTTGCCAATTCCCCGGGTGTTTAAGAAATGATTTATTACTTAAAATTTAATTGTTCAGTTGAAGGGACCGAGTACCAAATGGAATCGTCATTGGATAATCGATTGACGTTTTTGGAAAGTCATATGAAGAATATAATGGCTAGTGTTGAATCAATTGCCTCGATTATATCCGAAGTGAAAACTCGACAGAACACTAGAACTGTTGTCAGGTATGTAATGTTGGTGCCTGCGATTGTATCCGCGTAATTTGGATGCATTACGCAGCCTAGTTTGATAAGTATAGTAAGATGTAGCAGTCCCTTAACATTTATTATTTACACAATATTTTGAAACTATGTTACTAAGCGATGGAGCAGTATTCTAATGGTAAAAGTTTGAAATCGGTTCGAATCGATTGAGTCTTATCGTTATATACATACAAATATCTTTCGTCTTAATAATATTAGTATAAATAATGAAGTCTGCTTATAATGAATATATTAACTTATAGTATAAATAGTCTGTTTTTTGTGCTGCTGGCATTTCCTGAGTCAAGTACCAATTTTTTGTCAAGGGCAGGGTATAGAAAAATTTTTTTGCTTTTCTATCAGCAAAATACAGAGACATCATGATATGTAATGTGGATCAATCAATCTTTATGTGAACTATTTATTGAAAACATTTCAATTAAACTTGCAATGCAAGTGTAAACAGTGCGATAGCAATTTTAGAGAGATTTAATAAGTTCAGACAGAAAATCTGTCCAAACAGTATTAACTGTCAATCTAATGAGTGTCCAAAAATAATGTGGACTCAATAATTTTTTCGTAAATTTTAAATACACGCGGTTCCTACTGATTTATTTTATTATTTTAGCGCAACGATTATATATACCTTCAAGTTAAAAAAATTCTTTTTAAGATAAGAAAATCTCTTTAATTATTAATTTAGTCCAGATTTAGCACTAAGACTCCCTATTGATGGAATTAAGAATCGTTCCCTTACAGGCCAGATGTAACCGGTTCTTTGGAAGCAATTGGACTAATTTCAGAATTTAGAAGAGCATTACAGGAACAGAAGTCGAGAAAATGTGACTGCAAGTTAGTTTTTTTATGACATATTTATCGTCGTTATTTTATTAGTACTACATAATATAATATATCTAAGCGAGTCTTACCACTTTTAGACGTTTATTTTAATAAGGTTATTCGTAACCAAATTCTAAATGCGTATATTTAATTTAATGAAAGCATTAGAATAAATTATAAGAGCTTGGTCCCCGTGGCAGTTATTTTATTGCTGGCAATTTTCCTCATCGTATTGCGACACTTTTACGCAGAGCGAAGATCTCTAGGGTAGCCGATACCAATTAAACCCCACACTCCAAGAGTCTCTACTCAAAAATAATTTAGAGGAAACTCTTTAATTAAAATTATATAATATTTATTAAATTCGATTTAAAAGACGTGACGTACTTAAATCTTCTTTATTAGCGCACAATGGCACTATCATATAAAAAGTATCAATAAAACTATATATTTAGATAGGAATCAATTTCAGATACATTTTACGTTATATTTTTTCGTAAATGAACTCTTTGTTTCCAGGATTGGTAGAGTGGATCGCATAGAAAGATATCCAACAGATTGCCAGGAGATTCAAATGCAGGGCTTCAATGTGTCTGGGATTTATAAAATTAGACCCGATGATATGGAGCCTTTCTACGTGTTGTGTGATCTTAGCAGTGCGGGCGGTGGCTGGACGGTAAGTTTATACTTTCTACTAAGTAAGTAAGTTTATACTTTGTACGTCAACAAATTTGAATACACTTATAATTAGTGATTTATAATAACGGCTTCAAACCGTTCTACTTCGCCTAAACATTACAGGTCATACAAAATCGATTTGACGGCTCGCAAGACTTCTATAAAACATGGTCAGATTACAAGTATGGGTTTGGTAACCTGGCAGGTGAGTTTTGGCTCGGCCTCGAGAAACTGAACTACCTCACGAATCAGAAACTCTACGAATTGAGAATTGAAATGGAATCTCAAACCAGCCAAGAATCTTTCGCAACATTTTCCGTGTTCACTGTTGGACCCGAACATGAAGGATACAGGATCAGTACGTTAGGAACTTATAGAGGAAACGCTGGTATGTAATCAGTCTTTTAAACTTTTATTGCCCATACCAAATATTTTGAAAATTCTGTCTTAACGTTCCGCGTGCTTTACGTGTTAACGATTTAACGGAGTCATTAAATGTGTATTCAGTACAGAATAATATTTAAATCCAACACACAAATATACCGTATTTACAATATTCTTAATCTACATAATAACAATAATTAAAAATGGATAAAACTAAAACAAAATTTAAAAGTTTGGCCCCTGCGGCAGACTACCCTTAACGCCGCCAGCGATACTTAGGTATTCGTTGATCGAGGAAAGCACCAGCTTTGGGGTCACCGGTACTATCTACCAGGCGCCAATTTAAAACTTTAATTAGCGCCTGTGCAGTTGAACCCCACGGCCCAAAAGTGTCTGTTAATAAGATGTGTTTATATGTTAAGATATAACAGCTAACAATCACAGCCGTAGTATACGCAACTAAAGAAATTGAAAGAACTATATCGAAATTGGGTACAAAAATGTATTTTCCAAATGGAAGCTACATGTGAGTCCTGTAGGTACACAAAAGACAGAATATTCAATCAATGTATGACACCTCGGTCAATACCCGAAAGCAATAATTAGCTACTTTAGTTATGGTCAAACACATTGACCATAACTAAAGTAGCTAATTATAATAACATACCCTAGCGTTTTCGTATTCATATTTTAATATATTGTGTCAAAATGATAAATAATTTTAGGCGATTCCTTGTCATATCATGCGGGTCAGAAGTTTTCCACTCCCGATGTGGATAATGACGAGTGGAAGGATGGAACCTGCGCGGTGGAACATGGTGGAGCTTGGTGGTACAAGGAATGTGATAAGAGGTATACTTATTCACTAGGGTAATCAGTCTAGTGCATTTTTATAATAAACGTTTAAATATTTTATCCGCAGAAGTCGTTTGTTTCCACGAAATATTGTTTATGTTGACAGTAACTTGAATGGCAAGTATTCCCCTCCTGAAGATCACCATGGCCAGTCGATATACTGGATCTCATTCAAGGGGCCTAATTCACCACTTGCCAAGACCCGTATGATGATCAGGCCGCTACCTGCCAGCAGGCCTACAGATTTCACCGATCAATCTAGGGTAATATTCAAAATGTTTTAATTTTAGACACAGAAATGTGTAACAAGCCAACCAATACGATGCAACTTTATGATTACATTAACATTGCTAATAACCGTACTCAGAGTCGTTTATTAATTGCCAAAATTCAAGTAAGAACCTTTTCACTGTCCCGTGGCTCCTTACACCAGACATCAGCTTGCGGGACTTCGATTCCGTAGTTGAGTTGCACCGGTCTTTAGATACTTAATTTAATTTATTCATCCACCCTTATGCTTACTTTGAGATTCTGAGTAATGAATGTTGTTTAATATTCTATTCAAAACTATAATATACACGCAAAACATTAGAGCTATTAAAGACAGAAAGTGGTCCTTATTTATTATTCGAGTGAAGCTGCTGTATTTCCTCTAAATTTGTTTTTTGTTTTCTGAATAGAAAATTATGGAAACAACCAAAACAAAACCATTGGACAAGCAGGCAGCGCGTAAAGAAAAGAACCATGACACTCGCCACCCTCCGTACCGTTATGAGGACAACCTGCGAGCAGAGGGCTTCTTTCCGACCTACGCGTAGTTTTAAGGAAACATTATTTAGTGAATTGTGTTATGAAATTTGACGCAACACTCGGTTTAATAGAAAACATGTATCTTATTTAAACGACTTCGCCTATTTCGATGAATTATTGTTAATTATTTGAATTTTTATTTTAATGTTTTATAGGAAGACGTTATCTCTAACATACTTTTAAGATAAAAATAAACTTGATATAGCATTTTTTCTCTCAATTCAATGACACCGGTCGAGTTGATTATTCAATTTTAATATTGACTTATCAAAGCTATTCAGAAAAAATCTGACGTTATCACCATTCGCTGATCGTATACCGCTTACCGTTCGTAAACCGCTCGATGGCTTTTGTGATTTCATTATCGAGTTTAATTTTCGTTTTGTTTTTGTTTACTGGTGGATATTATCTAAAGTAACGTGCACTGTTTTTGTTGCATTCGTCCATACCAATACTGTTAATTATAATGAAAGTAAATTCTTTGAAACGATTAAGGTACCTATACCACCGCGATACTATAATTTTGCTGTAATAAATATTGATATATTATAAACACCATTATTAACAATTTATCTATTTTATTTATACCTATTGCCAGTGGCGTAACAATAGGGTGGCAGGGCTGGCAAAATGCCACGGGCCCCCGACCCAAGAGATCATATGTTCTATGGATGAATGTGAAGTCTCCAATACGCATTGGGCTAGCGTGGGGACTACAGACCAGAGGCTACTCTTAGGCGAGAGCCTAAGAGAAGCCTCTGGTCATTAGTCATAGACATATACAACCTGTAATTGAGTACGCTGAATTCTCGAAGTTTATTAAAATAAAACTGAGTACAACGTGAAGATTTTTACTGATAGGGCCCCAGTAGGTATAGTTACGCCACTATTCGATAAATCAGATTATATCAGTGCAGATCTGTTTTTGGGTTATAAATAAAAATCCATAAAAATTCAGTCTCATTTCTTTATTTTACATGAATCAGCGTCTGTTAATTGAGCAACAGGAGGGACAAACTCGTTTTAGTACAAATTTTATCAAGTCTTAACGAATGTTCTATCTATAAATAAGAAATACATGGGCATCGCAATATATTTAGTATCTTTGTACAATGCTTATACTATTTGGCCCATTGTATTCCTGTACAAGCAAGCACTTATAGCAACATATCTTACCAGACGCGACAGTGTGTGATGTTCAGTTAGTTTATAGTAACTACGAATAACTACGTAGTGTCGTTGGAGTAGTGAAATTGACATTAGCCAAGTTGTCTTTAACTCAAAACTGTCTATTGAAGGTATTTGAGGACATAGACAATCATAAATTAAAGTAACTCGTGTTTAATAAAAGAGTCAAAATTTATATACACTTTATGAATATATAATATGGCCTATTATGCCGTTAGATTCTAGAGAACACAAATTATGGCGTACACTCATTACGAGAAATCGTTACAGATGGGTGTCATCATGTTGCTTAAAACCGGCCTTATATTAACTGTATGGTTTAAATTGATGTATATACAGTTTATAAACAGATAACAAAAAATACCTGTAATTTGTCAGGTTTTAGAACGTACAGCGCCATATCAATGTAACAATTTCTCGTAGTGCTGCCACTTGGCGTGTTGAACACACTATACTAAGTACATTTTAATATATTTATAAACTACTATTTTACAATCATACTGACCTGTTTTTGGTATTTAACACGATTTAACTCTATAAGTAAACGATTAATTTAATGAGTGTTGGGATGAAAAAATAATATTTTCGTACTGCACCCACTCTTCAATTTTTTACAAAAGCGAGAATGATTTACTATTGACATTCAAATAAGCATTTTGATAAGGTCCAAACATGTATTAAAGGTTTACAATCAAATTTAATCTGTCCCAATCACTCATATTTGAAATGGCTATACAAATTAATTATCATTATCTATGCCAGGCTATCTGTGTCAAGAATTATTCAAAATAAAAATACATTTTTTAGTACCGTTATGTGTCTTCAGTGCACACGTAATAGCCCACTTAGGGCGGACTCTTAATGAGAATAATAATAGGGAAATATTGCAGTTATCTAGAATATTCGTATAAAGAATATTCAAGAAATAACTAGCCGATAGAATAGAACCGGTGAATTTATCATTTTTGCATGCGTGTAAACGTACCCTTAGAATGACCTGGCCTAAACTTTAACAACGTAATTTTTACCTAAAAATAATTCTTAAACTAATAAAGAAATATCAAATTAAAATACGTAGCACCATAAACGTAAATAAAATATTAAACACCTAAGACACGTACACTAACGAATTGCACTTGCCATTACCTATTTACACTTAACTACCCACCACCTCATTAAAAACTATAGTGGAGACTACAGAAACTTAAACATTACTTAAGGTTATTTACTGTCGAGACTTAGCGATGACTCCTGTCTTCACGGGAGTTCAAATCACGACTCCGAACCATACTAGAATTTAAATGATAAACTACTTTTTTGCTAAAGATTATATGGGCGTCAACATGGTGTTGTTACTTCAAGACATGAGGTAATTTCTGTGGGTCTTGGTGTGATCATAAAATCGAAGCCGAATAAACCCGAGAGATTTTCGCATTTATCTGTGATCAATATAAAATTCACGTAAATTTCACCAGTTTTTAACGATAAAGCAAGAGTAGTACCTTCAGCGTTGCAACCCCTCTATGCAACAGCCGAATTATTACGAAAAATTCCAGCATTGTAGAAAAATCTCCCGTCAACTTAACCTAAGACTGTCAGCGCGTGAGCATAACAAAAATTCAAACGCTTAAAACTAATAGGCGGAGATTCGACAATGTCCAGATATACGTAATTAAAAAAAAAGAGTAAGGTAATAGATAAGCTAGTATGAAGAATACGCATTGTTTAAACAAATTATATTTATAAAAATCGCGTAATGGATACAAAACTGTGTGTCAAAAAGAACATCGATAAATTCAACTATTTTTCTTCCAGAATTAAAATTGTTTTGGAATTTTATACTATAACTAGAGTTTGTGATTTCAAAGTATTAAACTGTCGTTTAACAGTTAACAATTTCGTCATTCAAATGTTCGTTTCGACTTTATATGATACGTTTAATAAATGTATTATTTCTAAAAGGGTATACATATATGCCTCCAATCGGCTTTTACTTATAAAAACTGTGTGAAAAATAAGCTACTATACATTCTTAAAGAGTTCAAACATGCAAACATTATGCCTCATATCGGCTCTTACTCATTAGAACTAAATTAATTGCACTCTTTTGCCTCTATCCATCAAATTTGATTTACACTGTGATGAAATAAAATAGAGTTAAAACGGTGCAATAGGTTTAATTTGTATGAATATTAATATATCATAGTCATGTTAAGGTCCACCGGAGTCATCCGGGGCCTTAAAACCAATCTGAAACAAAAAAAACGTATTCAATAGACAAATTAATATGTATTTTTGTATTCTAGAAGAAAAATAATTCTGACACAATCCCGCTACGAGATGTCATTAAAGTTGTAAATATGAATAAAATATCAAACAACTTTAATGACGTCTGAAAATATCTGATTGAAATATATATTATATACATAGGGGTGAATACAACAACTGGATATGAGTGATATTCTTTCGCAATAAATCCAACAAAAATATTTTTACAACCAAACCAGCACTTTCTAGATAGTGCATTAGTTTAAGTTATTTTTATTATAGGCATACACAGAACTAAGTCTCGATAGTAGAAATTCAACTACAATTTTTTGTTATCTCACATCACGTGATCTAACTCAGATAAACGTGTGTTTTATTTTTTTTTCAAAGTGGGCCAACAAGGAAAGACGCCTGATAGCCGGCAGTTTAAGAATCGGTACGCTTCTTTGAACGACTAAATCCAATTGGTGCTTAAGACTTTGACCTAGACAATTTAAATCAATACCTCATTCATTTGCATCAGCGATTGTCTGTTCGCTCTCCGGTCGCAACGAGTCAATACAAGCGACAATTTTGAGAGCCGGTCCAAGCTTCATAGACAGCGCCATCACCAAGTGTTCAGGTTTGATTAGAAGTAAAGCTTCACCATCCACTTCTTGCATGAGGAACTCGTCCGCATAGCCGGCACAACCCGGTATGTTGCGGATAAATTCGCATACTTCGGTAACCTAAAGTATAAAATCATTCTAAGCTTTGTGACAATGTAAACGGTCAGAAATGCCGCTCATAATAATATAAGTAAAATATGATAATACAGTTCTGAGGTACACAATACTAATTTGCAAGTTTTTAGATACATTTTTCGATCCAATAGCGACATATGACAAATGACATAAATAACAGAATCATCTAATTTCTTTTTAATCTATGGTCTGTTTTAGCTTTTGTAAAAATTTGAACTCTGAATTTTTAAATTTAAGAGCAATCCCCCCCTGCCCCTTTAATGTAGTCTAAGATTTGTTTTCATTTAATTTATCACTCCCCGTTATTCATAGTAAAATAAAATCAATTAGTAAATGGATATATTAAAAAAAATATACTTACAGTCCATTTATGAGCATTGGGCAGTTCTTTCGCGTCTTCGTCTACTTGGATAGTATCAGGTGCCTCCGAAACTTCATTGCTAGCCTGACTAGTACTGGGAAGATTAGAGTCGTTGCTTGACGATATCCGTGGTAGACTGGTAGTAATATCCATTCTTGCTCTTTTGCCAGCTAAAGTAATACAAATATCGGCGTATATAGCAGTGTTGGCCTAGTGGCTGACCTTTCTATATACACATGAATTTTGATTTTTTTTATACATATAGGATTACTAAAATATCGGCGTTATATAAAGCTACACGGAGCGTTGCATTGTATGGCAAAAGCAAATTAAAGTAAAAATATTAGATTAAAAGAATTTGAATCGAGGAACGTTGAAGAACTATGTAAGAGGTTCACCCGACTATGAGTCAAGAGAATAGTGGGATCCATTTTGTATTCAAGATGACCAGGTTTTTTAATTCACCATAAAGATTTTTATACTATAGCCGGGACATGCAGTACTTTTAACATTATTCCTTTACATATTCAACCGGTTCATGTCTTCTGCACTGATTTTTGTAGAAGTATTGAATACAATATATAATACTTTGGGAGCGAGTAATAACGCGATCACACAGTTTTGATAATGAATACAAATCGCATGAAAACATATAAAACTGTTTAGCATATATAATACTAGCTGTTCGGGAAAAAATAGAATTGTTCTTTTGTTTATACCGTAAAGATACTCACGTGGCGGTTCGTCTGTCGTCGCCTTTTCTTTTTCTTGCTCTTTATCACCAGAACTCCATTCGCGGAGCGGACGATTCACCTTAAATTTAATAGTTTTTAGCCAACTTTAAATTATTGTTCCTACACAAAACTAAAGTTATTTTTGAAATTTATATAATTATATTTTTTTTAAGCTATTGAATTGATGATTTGACTGTAACCTATTTATTTTATTGTCATTAAAATATTAAAACTGTCGAAAATTCGTACATATTATCAGTTTAATTTTTTTCTTCGATAATAAAAACACGTGGTATTTTAATTTACAATTCGTCATTTGAGATTTCAATAAATAATTTTGCATAAAATATAAATTACTAATATTTAATAAATTCTCTTTACGAAATTTTAATTTTAAAAATAGATGTTCTATAAAGTAATTCACCCTTCTGACTTTCTCTGAATCGGTCTCAATAGCTCTCTATCTTCGTCACGCTAATATTATTATTATTGCGTTTCATCTGTAAAAATTTTACCCTCATGCACCTAAAGAAGTTTCACTTCAAAAAAATTGTATTATTTTTTTATAAACTTACGGCAAATGGTTCAGCTGCTTCTTGTATGACGTAGCCTTCAATCACGTGAGTCAAAATGTTCGGTTTGACCATCGCCTTGGGTAACCCTTTGTCCGTAACTGGAAAATAAAATACGTGTGGCACTCGGGGACTGCCGCGGTAAAGCTATTGCATAGTATTTTTTATAAACTCATGCAATATAATTATGTATTTATTTTTTGCAGTACTTTTTTTTTAAATATTAATTCAAGATTTTACTTTGATATTAATTCTATCTACCACTCTACCAGACTCAGACTAAACCAATGTGAGACGCAGTATGCGTTCTGTCCCACTCTGACGCGTACTGGCCGCACCTATATTACGTCATCGTGTGTTAGGCTCAAAGCCCGCGATAAAATCTATGCAACAGTTTAATAACTCTTTAACGAATAAAATATTTTATATTATACCTGAGTTCGATTCCCGGCAACAACGGTTTACTGCATTTAAAAAAAATTGTTTTAAACATCCCAATCTTTTATGTATGGCGGTTTTTGAGTATACGACATATGACATATGGGTCACGACCAATCGTGAAGTCAAATACCTTGTTGCGAGCTGATGTTCCTTGGTGCACATTGGCTGCTTTTGAATGTTATCGAACTGGCCGCTACAGACGTAGTCGTCGGTAACGTCATCGTCGCTGACGTCATGCTCGCCGATGACGACAACGACGTCGACGACGTAACTGCAACTGGTGACTGTAAGTTTTAAGATTAAAATCAGTCATGATAATATTCAAATTCACATTTCCATTCCCTACAAATTTTTTTCTCAAATTGCCTAGAAGTTATCACATATAAGCGATAAGACCACTCGTTTCCTCTTAATAATTATTATGAAGTTTTTCTTTTATTAAACGCAAGTCTTTCAATCGATCTTTAATCAAATTTTACAACTCTCCCAAAAAGTATTCTATTTTATAGAAATATACACAAACCATACCTGCTTGACATTCGTTGTAACCGTGCTGCTAGTGGGTGCCGAAGAGATAGAGGTTGAGACTGACGTGCTTACGGAAGCCTCTGAACGCTTAGAACCCTCAGACGACGGAGAGATATCTGTAAAAATGTTTTAACCAATATAAGTCAAAGGGTCAGGCATAGAAAGTTAAAAATTGGCAGTTCAAAGTATTAATTTATAATTATGGAATAAAATAACTTGTAAGTAATCATTTTTCAAATATAAAAATTTAAACGTCGGCGTCACGTGACACAAAACGGTCATATTTTAGTCGAATCGACAATGACGTAGCATGCTTATAATTAATAATATGTCTTCTTTCAATCCTTATACTAATCTAAGAGTTTTAATTTGGTCGGTAACAGGTAAAAAGCGTAACGTGTTTAGAAGCATACGTCACAGGGACTGACGTCAAGAGTTTAGGGGTGGTTTCTTGAAATTATGAATGTTATTTAAAATCTTACCAAAAAACCCATTGCCAGAGTGAAATATCTTGTAAAACCATTTTTTTTTGCTTAACAATAAACAAATAATTAAACCTACTTGGTGTGGTGACAGTTGTAGAAATAGTGACGTCACTAGCCGGCGCACTCGTTGGCACGGCCTCTGTAGACGCGTCAGAGGTCGACACTTGCTGGACCGTCGTCTGAAAAATATTTTCAATGTAAGCAGACATTGGCCGGTGACTTCCGTAACACAGCGCTCACTTTAACATAATAGTCAAGTACCACACTACGGCGATACCACGGGTTAGAGTACAAAACTTACCGAAGCCGGCATCTGCTGTGGCTTCTCATCTGGTTTCACTTGACTTTGTTGAGACACAACTTGTGACTGTAACGGCACTACGGAGCCTTGCACAGGTGCCGTTATTAGTCCAAGGCCTGAAGCCTGAATTGTTATTTGAGGTGTACTTATACTGTTTGACGATACCTGAAAAAAAAATATAAATATTAAATCCGCTAAAACATCAAATTACGTATATAAAATACCTTGTTTATTATTTTATTAATTCAATTTAATAACTAGGTATGTTTCATAACCTTTTAACTAAGTAACAATAGGTCTTTGTGAAAAAGCATTGCTAAAATTCTTTGAAATAATAATTAATCTCCTTTATTTGTTTAAAAGGTACTACAAATGTCATTAAACTCTTGGCATAGCTGCTAACGTCACGCATATTCTATTTCTTTTTACTTGTAGATTATCTTATTCCCATCGCGCTCGCACACGCTCGGCGCCCCTACTGATAATTATGTGTCACGGTGCGCGCGCATCGTAAAATTTCACTCTCATAAATTTTTCATAACGCGCCTAAAGAAGTATAACTTCAAAAACTCGCTATAACGTAAAAAGAGTTAAATTTGTTTGGTTTAACACAAAAGCCATGTATTAATTCTTCCCTCCCTATAACAAATCCTCTCTGTAACGAATAAAATGCTCGGTCCCTTGAAATTCGTTATAAAGAGTTGACACTGTACTTGTAAAGTTAAACGCAAAAATTTATATTAGCGCCATCTAATGGCTACTCCGATAACTATTCGATGATTACTTACAAATAAAAAGAAATTATTGGGTATATTTACTTGAATTAAACTGGTTTTCGCAAACACAATTTAATTAATATTCCATTCCTATAAGTTCATAAACAGACGAAATGTGTCTGTTGGAACCTGATTGTACGTTACGTACTACGTTTTACGTACTCAGTACTTACATTGGACATTTGAGTTGCGTTGAGTGACTGTTGTTGGATAGCCATACCAACTGATGTTTGAACCAACCCGCTTCCAACTAAGCCCTGAATCAATAAGTAATATATTTAAAAAATCCTACTTTACGTAGTATAACTCTCAAATTTATACTTAATATTCTATCCTTATCCCTCTCAAGGAAATAAATGAGAGGCCTATAGTACGTAAATAGTTTTTAAATATGTTTTTTTATTGATATTGATGACAGGAATCGTCAAGAACGACTCCTATTAAGCACTCGAAACGTCGAGTTTATACTGTAAAAGTTTTTTTTTAAATAATAGTATAAAGTTGAAATATACAATCTATAGAATTATCATTAGATATATATATATAGAATAGATAAAATAAAGAATAACTAAGATGACACAATGAAAATAAATAAACTTAAGTGGAAATGTGCCCACTGAGAATCATTGTATGGAACTGAATGAAAAAGAATGAGATGATAGAAAAATAAATGTATCTTTAAATACATTCTGAAATAAGACTTATTATTAATATTGCGCCATCTATTCTTAGCATATCTAACTTGATCCATTGCGCCATCTATTTTCACTTATTGTAAACCCTACATTAAATCCTATTAAGTTCTATAATAATCTTCCTACCTGCTGATGTGGAATAGTTTGGACTTGCGTTAATGCGTTTTGCGCTGGTTGACTAGTGCTTATTTGGCTAACTAATGTGCCAGGCTGACTAGTACCACCCAACTGCAAAATAATATTTAGCAAATAACTAAACAATTCAGGCGAGTTAAAATTTAGAACAAACGGGCTCATCTATCGTTAAGTGATATCACCGCCCATGGACACTCACACTACCAGTAGGCAAGTGAGTTGGCGGCCTTTCAAGAATGGGTACGTTCTTTACTTAAAAGACCCATTTATAGTTAAAGGCTGTCCAAAACGTCAATGAAACTTAAATCTAGATTATTCGCTGTCAAATATGTCAAACGTCATTAAGAAAAAAATGTTAAACAGCTCTCGAAACTAGATTTAAGTTTGACGTTCTAGAATACTAGCCTTAACAGTTTAAAATTAACAGTTGATCCTGTAGTTGCGGGAAATCAAAATGATTTTTTTTTCGTGATTTTCTTCACTTTATTACATTGAATTAATAGCAAAAATTAATTAAGCGAATAAAATATGTATTTTTTAAATTTTTGTTCTTTTACCATTTTTTCAACATTTTTTGTAATTAAACTCAAGTGTAAGAATTCGATTAACTTACTGGATGAATTTGATGAACCATAGATATTTGCGGAAGGCCTGCCAAAGGCAAAGTCTGAGCGACTGAACCCACTGGTAATGCTTGTTGCATCCCTAGTAATCCTAGAAAAAAAAATTATACGTGCAAAAATTTCACCTGACTGATTATAAGAAAACATTTATCCATTTAAAAAACTTTAACGACATCAAACAAACTAATTACTTAGCCACAGATTTCTATATCTGTTTGTATAGGCAAGTAGATCATTGAGGAGTAAAGGAGTAAGAGGAACAGCCAGGTCAACGCCAGTTTCCTTACGATGGTTTCTTCACAAGGGCGAATGTTAAATGCGCACATAGAAAGCCGGCGTTCGAACCCACGACCTCAGAGATGAGAGTTGCACGCCTAAGCCACTAGGCTAAGCTCCAGTTGACAGATATTTGAATAATTAAAAAAATTTGCATTGCGCTGAATTTCTACAAAAAACTACTCATTACTATGTCTTATCTGGAGTTTTAACTATCGAGTATTTTTATGCGTATCGGATAAACCATAGACAACATTAATTAAATGAATGAGTTTCATACCGGGTGTCCAAAGACCGCTCCCGAAAACTGGAAGTCACATATTCTACTCAAACTACTGAATAATATGCATGCTATAACATAATTACTCAAATAATTTTAGTTTTATTCAACACGAGTTAAAATCAACGTTCCAGACTTGACATATACACTAGTATTTATTATGCCTCAAGCCACAATCAAGTCTTGAGCGTTGTCAGTTTAGTTAAATATGGAAACTATACTCTTTATAACAGGCCAAATTGTTTTTTAAATATATCAATAATTATTAGGTGTGATTAAACTAGATATTGGTATAAAATCTGGCGATAGTCGCCTATATACTTTAAGAACTCGTGAAATTTATTAAGAAATTCTAGTTAAATTCGTCATATATAAACAATCACCTTGTTGATACTGTTGGACTAGCTGTTGGTTTTGCTGTTGCTGCAACAATTGTTGTTGTTGTTGCTGCTGCTGCGCTTGTTGCTGTTGTTGCTGGAAAAGAATATTATAACAGTTATATATATCCAATAAGTAAGATAAATAAGCAGTATATACTTTAATATATGGAACTTTTTATTGTCATTACGATTACAATGTTTAATAATGTAAGCCTTATAATTTGTTATTAATTTTATTATTTATTTATTTTTAAATAAATTACAATAAAGAGGTAGTCTCTGTTAAAAGGAGGTATGTATACAATGATGGAGAAAGTAAATATTTATGTCCTTATTTTCTACTCTTATAGTAACTTAATATTAAAACAACAGGAAACTTATTAATACAAAATTTAAACTAGAACATAATATTATATATAAATAAAACAAGGAAACCTAAAACCAAGACTTTTTATTACAATTTATAAATATTGCAATCCTTGTGAATTTAGCTACAATGCAACTAAATCAGTCATACATTACCTGTTGTAATGCTTGTTGCTGCATAATCTGTTGTTGTTGTTGTTGTTGCTGCTGTTGTTGTTGGTGGTGTTGCTGCTGCTGCTGTTGTTGCTGCTGCTGTTGTTGCTGCTGCTGTTGTTGATGTTGCTGCTGTTGTTGCTGTTGCTGCTGTTGTTGCTGCTGTTGCACATTTTTGTTGGGAGGCTGTTTGTCTAAGTTGGCGATTTGAGTCATATGGCCCGTCGTGTTCATAACCATTATACTAGAAGTAAAATAAAAGATTTTAATGCTGAAGAATCAGTACTATTTTCTTAATTCGTTGGCGATATATATACCAATGGCGTTACAACCTTTTACGTCTGGTACTCAAAATTCTGTGCTGTTCCGTGATAATTTCTATTAGGCAAGTACAAACACACAGAGAACTTTTTGGGTCTAATGCAATCCGGTTTCCTCACGATGTTTTTCTTCACAACGAGCGAGTGTTAACTGCGCATATAGAAAGTCCATTGGTGCACCTTCGAACTCGTTGAAACAACTAGGCTATCACTGCTCCGTCTGTCGCCAAACCTTTTTTTAAATAATAAATACTTACTGAGTTTTCTGCTGTTGCATTGAAAGTGGCAATTTATTTGTTTGATTCGCTGCATCTTGCTTCGGCGTAGATGCACGTACACCCACCCTCATCCGTTGCTTTGCCTGTATATCAATTGCACGTGTGAGATTTTTATAGTTTTTGAAAAAATTCAATAAAAGGAAAAAGGACCTTCATGTGTTTTGCAACTATCAAATATTTAAATAACAGTTTCGAATCGACAAGATTTTTTTTTATATAATAGAGGAGCAATCGAGCTTGCGGGATGGTCGTCCCAAAAAAGGGCAGTTTTCGCAGCCCATAGACACCCATTTTTAGTAGAATGTTAGTAGTATGTAGAATTTAGATTTTGTAAATGTAGAGTTATGTCAGTAAATAAAAATGATTGACCTTTGTTGGTTGTCAAATATTTATACGTGTGTCCAGAAATGTATTTTATGTAAACTCAGGGATACTCAAGCTACCTAAATATACAATGTTATATCGTTTTGTGACATTTCATAATAAAGTAGAGATTTTTGTATTCATTGTTATTACTTTCATAATTTAAATTCATCTAATCTGTAAGTTGGCATTAAATGACTGTTAGGCGGCACGAAGTTCGCCGGCTCAGCTAGTTTATAAAAAATGTATAATAATTTGTATCTTATATTTTTTCGAATTATTTATATAAAAATCTAACACTGAATTGCAGGAATAAAGTATAAAGTTCAAAAAGTGTCGTAAATTTTCAAGTTTTTGTAATCTAAATCCAATCGCATTAATAAAGAAAAAAATCAAAAATATCAGTATTGCCATGTTTTAAATGTTGCAAAATTTAATAACCGGGATTAAATAAAAAATATCTTCCAGTTTTAGAACCAGCCTGAAATAAAAATCTATGAATATCAAACTATCAGTGTTGCCATGTTTTAAGTATTGCCAGTTTTAGAACCAGCATGGAATAAAAATCTATGAATATCAAACAATCAGTATTAAAAATAAAACTTACAGCGTTTTGTGCCTGATTCGCGCTAGTCTGCGTAGAAACACTAGAAGCTGGTCGTATGCCACTCGAGGGCAATATGTTTGACAGAGGCCGGGGTCCTTTTGACATTCCATCGGTGGAGACTCTTGGCTTAGTGGTACTGACGGTTGACGACGCCACACTTTCACCTATAACAATATTGTTATGTAGAAAATTGTATTTACATAGGAGCGCACAGCATGAGTCGCACAGCTACTCATCGATATAAATGAAAATTAATCGCAAAATATTGCTAAGCTCAAACCTCGATGACGGCTGCACCAATTGGGGTTTTCTTTTTTAATTTATTCCTTGAACTCTGAAGAAGGTTTTTTAGAAAGAAAATAGGAAAAACATAAAAAAGAGATGTTTTTTTTTTAATTTAGTACATAGATATTTATCTAGCAAAATGTTAGATGTGTTAGTTTATGTTGGTGCTACTAAAAGGCTAAATAAAAAAATCATATTGACGCCAAACTCAGTTCGCAGAGGCACCTAGTTTTTAATAAAATTCTATATAGTAAAGTCCAACAGTGTATCAACTTCATTTGTGTCTTCTCTCTCAGCTTAGAGACAGAAATATATAAAAAAGACTTTTAGCCATTCAAAGACTAGTGTTGCCCATATCATTAATTTAGTAAAATCGTTGAATATATTATGTATATATAAAACTGAAAATTATATTATATTTAAACAAAATCTGTCTTGGTCTTTTATTACAGGGTAAGAAATACAAGTTAAAAAGGCTAAATAATTTGAAGATGTTCGTTATGTAACATCCTAACGATTTTTTTTTTCAAATTAATAAATCTATTTTAAGACCTTATATAAAGTTTTGGAAATAAGTTTTTTTACACAACAAATACCTACAAATTGTTGTTTTGTTTGTTCGCAAAATATCGTTAACTTATTATGCTATCATTAAAGGTATTAAAAAAAATGTTAGCCAAAACGATCCATCAATGTAGGCAATACTAACTCGTATGCTGAACATTATTTTGGGGTGAATGTTGTATGAACATAGAAGGTGGTGGTTCCTGCTGCGAGCCTCGTATGAAGATAGGATTCGGAGCTAACAACCCGCCAGCCGGTATCGTCCCAGCTTGCAATCCTCCGGCCCAAACTTGGGGTATGGCCCCTGATATCTGCCAAGGGGCAAACTGCATCTGTCCACCAGCCTGTAAAAATCACCACACATTAATTGTGCCCATAACTTATAAACATAAAGCGCGGCAAAAATAACATTCGCATAGATTATAGTCACATCAATGTTAAATAACAAAAACAATCGACAATCGCAACGGCATATCGTTTAAGTCACTTCAATAAATCAAAATTCATAAGAATGATTTTGGTACAAGGAAATTAAATAAAATAGTGAAATACAAACTTTCAGAAATTATAAAAATACATTTAGTATTAAAAAATAGCGGAAAACGGAAATTTTGATTTATCGAAGTGACAGCACGAAACATTGTATTAACCAACCTGTAGAGGGCTGATGATTTGGGCTTGTGGCTGTTGTCCAAGAACTGGCTGAGAGACCTGCACACATTGAGTTTGAAGGGGTACAGTCTGACCGTTTCCAGTATTCACTTTGCCTGTTGTTACTTTCCCTCCACTCATTCCCTACAAATTTTAAATATATAATTGCTTTAGTGTTATATGTATGCTATGCTATACTTATGCTCGATCCATTGAAAGATCTTTCATCATTAGAATTCCGCCTTAACCATGAGTAACGAAGGCATTTAATTTAACTAATAAGTAGCGTGGTGTAATGTCAGTCATGTAAACTATTTTATTCGATATAAACATACATATTACTAACATAGATATTACATTTTTTATTTACGACGGACTCAAACTTATTTGCCCCTTTAAGATCTCCAGAGAAATGGTTCAGAAACGCAACCCTTAAAAATTTATCAAGAACCTTCGTTTCAATTGATATATGACGCTGCAATTTTAAACCTTGAGTCTATAACACAAGGTTAATTTTACAAAAAAACTTTATACGAAGCCTAGATAGATTTAAAATAGCCTGTAAATTATATTATCACGTTATTAAGTGACATCCATATACAATCACCATTTCTGTTTACCTTATGCATATCTCCGGGTTTTTGTTGTTGATTCATCCCAGAGGCCTGAGAATGGGCGGGAAGAATGCTCGGCTGGGAATTCAGCACCCCCAAAGGGCTAAACACGAATGTTTGGTTCTGCGTAGTAGGTATGGTCGGTATAGTGGTGTACCCAGGGAACGATGCTAGTAAAAAAGATGAAAATTAACAAATGTAACAATGAAATACCATCAAATTATGCCCATGAACATGCAGGCCTACTTTATCCCAATAACGAAAAGTTATAAATATTAAAATTCGTCAAAGCAATAACATTGCGTCTACCCTCATTACACTGCCAATTCAAAAGCACATTCACTAAACATTATTCCAATACGAAATATCTACATTAAATAAAAAATACCGGATATAAAAATATTACTGCTTCCATCATAAAATTACATTGACATTCACAAAACAAAAAACGACTCGAAATTAAATACACATAGAATATTTATTGTTAAAATGCCATAAACCTTGGTCCTGATACGTCGTAAGACCTGAAAAATTCACTAAAAAAACTAAATAGTGCAGCAGTTCCCTGTTAACGATGCACGTTTATTCACTTTGAAATAATGAAACATTCGTATAACAATTTCAATTCTACTTATCGTAGATATTTTGTAACTTTACTTAAGTTAGTAGTTAGTAGTTCGGAAAATCAGTCTTATTACACCCGTTAAGTACCTACTAAAAAATCTATACCAATATTTAAAAGAAAAAAAAAAGAGAAATTGTTTTAACGGGGAAAGGGAAAGTTCGATTTATGTTTATTTCGGGACAAGTCTTTCCCTTACGGATAATTCAGCGGAATCTGTTTTAAAACAAAAACATTGAACATTGCCCGTGATTGTCATTTCAATGAATATACTAATATTATAAAAAGGAATTGTTTCATTGCATAGAAGCACCAAAACCGATTTGAAAAATTCCGTTAGAATTCTATATTATCCCTGATGAACACAGGTTAAAAAATACTTTTAATTTTTTTTTAGATCCGTATGAAAACATCGTTAATACATCATCTACGCAAGGAGAGGATAAAAAAACATACAAATAAAAACTCCTATATCGCATACCCTCCGGGAACTATTAACAGTGTTGTACTATCTTAGAAGACAACCAAATAATCAATACCATATTCATTACATATTTAATAAAACAAATATTCACCCGTGCGAAGCCGGGACTGAACGCTAGTGTGTAAAATTACTGCATCAAAATGCTTATGTATGACGCGCATCTGTACTATAATAAAATCTCATATTAACGCGAGTAATACGGATAGTTTAATAAGACTGATTTAGTGTTTTAAACAAGTTAATTTTTTTAAACTTAACCCATGAATTGTACCCGGATTTAATACGACGTTGATTTTTTAATTAAGTGTTATAAAAATACGTTTACAGCCGGCCTTCGAACGTACATTTGAGAAACGAATGCTTGACCAACTTAATATATTTTGTTTTAATTTGTCTATAACAATTAGAGTAATTAACAGAAATATAATAGTTGTCATTCACTTTGACCTTTTAGACAAATTAATTTAAAAAATGTATTCATAGAAATAATGTATAAAGTCAATTTATACTGAGTATGAAAATTCTAGCCAAATATTCGCAAGTCGATGCCAGGTCAACTCAGTACCCATCTGACATTTTTGACATAATATGTCTGAACTCACCGGTCTGTCCTTGTAGTACTTGCTTTCCCTGCGTAGTCAGCATATGTGGGGCGAGCTGGTTGCCTTGGAATGGTTTGCCAGCGGCGATTACCTACACGAATCCATTATGAAAATTAATAACATTAATCAATAACTTAAATAAGGAAGCTATTCTATTAACAAAATGTACTAATTGGGGTTTTTCGTACCCGACTTTTGAGTATAACCCGGTTATCCAGGTATAGAAGTTAGTTACCCCGTTATCCGGTAATGTTTTGTTTGAAGTAAGTCAATAAGTCTCCCTTAGCACAGTCACAATGGAATGAGATAATTCTAAGAATATAGAATTATCTCATTCCTAGTTAAGTGTAGTGGATATTTCTGGGGCCTGAGACTAAACATTTTTGTATGGGGTCACGTACGCTAATATCATTCTCAAAGAATTTCGTTTGATGTTAGAGGATCGCAATGTCTCAGGCCCATAATTTTGTTTTGTAAAAAATTATTAGATTTATTACCACGTAAACATCAGCGCCTACGGATATTAAAGAAATTCAGCGTTGGTTAATTTTTTATGCTATTACCACCGCCAGCTAATTCTCAATGTCTTGAATTAATATTAGGTCACTAGAAAATTGGAGATTTGTATGAATATTTTGAAATATTTTGGTATTTTCTATATTTCAGCTAACCGTTTAGTTGGCAGCTTGTTTATCGCTTTACTGTAAAAGTCCGCCGGACGGGAGGCGATGAAGTCAGCGAAAGCGTTTTGCCTTGCCTGCTTGGAGTTTTCCCACTTAAATTGTCTATATTTAAAAAAGGGAAGAATCTGTAAATGCTTGTTATAGAAGCTCCAATTACATGTTAACTCCTACTATTCACATCCAACTCATCCTATTGTAACTCCAACTAATTAGGCAAAGACCCATTTATTGAAACCGCTATTAAATTGAAAGCGGAAAAATTTCCTGGTATAATTGCGGGGCGGGAAGCCCTGCCAATAGTAACTACACACACAAACTTATACACATATCACAAACTTAAAACTGTATCATAGTTATAATGAATGTACCTGTATCTGTTGCGAATTGATCTGTGGATGTAACGCAATATTTCCTGGCATAAGAAGCGGCCCTTGTGCATTGTACAGTTGCTGCAGGTAAGTGCTATTTTGAAGTGGCTGTTGAATTACTTGTACACGTCCATGTCCCCAATCGGCACTAAAAATCGCATATTTGACATAATAATATGACAAAGGTTTAGGATATTCATTGATGAGATTTCCAAACAATTGTCTCGTAAGTCGAACCCGAACTCTAAAAGCTTTAGATTTTTTCTAAATTATACTTCAAACAATAAACGGAAATGGAAATGTACATGGGGTACATGTTATTAAATTATATTTTTTTTAAGAAATACAAAATTACCTTAATTGCTGAGGATGTGGAGTGTTGGGTGGTAAGCTCTGTATCGGTCCCATAGTGGATATACTAGCCCCAGCCTGCTGCTGTATTGTACCAGCTTGCTGCTGCGGGACCGAAATTTCATTAACGAATTAATATCTCATTAAAAAACATGTATTTCTCTTACAAAATATTGACAATTAGTTTGTTAGTATAAAATATAATATCTGTAAAAGTATCGCCCTCCCGAGGTTTAGGCTTTCTTTATTAGGGATGTTTTTTCCTTGAATCCCTACTGAGAATCGGCTACTATCTTTCAAACCCCTAAGTTATAAGGGGTGTCAACCCCAAAAATTGTTTTTTATTTAAAATAAAAAATATGTTTTTATTGTCTTATGATACAGCATACAAATATACGTACAACCCCTAATTTTCACCCCTCTACGATTACCTCTTATTTTTTATTATTGTAGATAGTTATTCTTATTGAACTAAAAAATATTCCTAAAAATAATATTTAAAAAAAAAACAAATCAAACGTTTACCAGGTCAGTAGGGTAGAGCGGGGCTAGTTGAGCATAGGGGCAAGTTGGGCAATCGAAATATCTCGGAAACTATTCACCTTACGCGGGAGTATCAAATAGCGAAAAGAAGGAGTGGTAGGAGAGGTAATCATCGCACGATAGCTAGTGGCAGCTCGACGAGTGAGTGAAGTGTCACGGCGTTTTGTTTATTTTGTGACCAAAAAAGTAAAAACATTGTTTATCGCAAGTTTTCGTCTGTCTTTGTCAAATGTTCTCTGTTTTCAATCAGGAGAGTGTTAATCTTTCAGAGGATTATTGTATTTTTGATTTGTAAATAGGTTTTGGGTCTAATTCTAGGCATTTATTTACAATCCTACTTTTCTTTTAAAATTCCGGGTTGGGGTAAGTTGAGCAACTATAGCTCAACTAACTCTACGACTTAAACAACTGATGAGTAATGAATCTTATATTTTTTGTTTGGATGCGGACTTACAAGAGGAAGACTACAAGATGTTCTTACACTACTGAATACTTAAATAATGCTGCAAAGGCTGTCCACGATGAGGGAAAAAGTGTGAATACCGCCGCTAAAGAATTCGGTATTGGTTGACTTTTAAATAAATTAAATTAAGGTGATGATTTATGTCCTATACAACACCGAGGGAAGTATATCCTCTCTCACAAGAGAACTGTTGAAAAAATTCTTGCTGCAAATGGCATTTTTCTCCAAAAGACGTCCGTCGCCTTGCCTAAGAGTGTGCTGAAATTCCACCAAGCTGAATTGCAAAAAAGATTTCCGGAAAAGAATGGTTGATGATGTTTTAAAAACAAAAAAATCGTAGCTATCCATACAGAAACCAGAACCCACCAGCATTGGTAATCTTTTTTTAGAAATTATCGGAAGTAATGGATAGATATGGATGCTCATGTTTTGTTGATTCTAGTTTCGGTTAATTATACAAAGAAAATTTCTTTAAATTTTGTTGTTCTGTCAATAAAAGACTATAAATAAAAAGCTGACTGTCTAACACATATTTTATTTCATCTCAAGTTAACATAGAACCCATGGTTTGGCCTAGACATTCTTAGTGCTCAACTTGCCCCATACCCTTGCTCAACTTACCCCACCTATGGGGTACATTGAGCATACTTGACTTTCTGCATTTAAACATCTGTAGCTATTATATTGGACTTGTTACAAAAAAATACTATGGACACTTTTGTTAAGGGATAAATTACTAATCCATCAGGACACATAACAACTCATTGAGACTTATCATTGAGGAGCTATATCCAAGCAAGTGAAAAATTGCTCAACTAGCCCCGCCCTACCCTATATATTATATTATATTAAATTAGTACATTCTAACAACTAGACTTAATTTTACATTACTTTTTTAATTCAATTTCAAATTGTTCCCGTAAAAAACTTACATTACAAAAAGCATCCATTTTTCGTACTGTAAGCCGTTGACTATCACCCTTAGACGTAATATGACCCATTTGCTAAGTACGCAAGGTTTGCATACATCACTATTATATGCGAACGAATTTACTTATAATACTTTGAAGTAAATTAACAATTAATTTACTTCAAAGTATTTCGAACATCTTTGTTTAGACTACAACAAGAGATATCAATGGTCATCAAAAACAATAGTAATATTAAAGTTACCTCAATCAATGTAGCGAATATGCTTTTTGTTTATTGAAATTACCACAGACACGCTAATATTAAAATAATACATCCAAGTACACGAAAAGGAAAAGCTTGTACCGCAAGTTACTTAACCTAATTTTAGTTAAGTATATTGTTGGTAATAATTAGAAGCGTAAACCAAATGTAAACAATCATCGCACACTTGAAGCCAATATGAACCCTTTAGTTTTTACCACACTTATAAATTCTATTTTAACATTCTCAAGTGTCATTTAGATTTATGAACTCTTAGATAAGCCAAGTTTGTTTTAATAAGCGTCGCAACCCCTCTATCCTAATGTTGTGTTAGTTATGTTATAAGCTCATATTTTAAACCATTAAAGTCAGTTGTTACCCAGCTTCAAACAAAGAGTTTTATATAAACATCTCCATACAAAAACCGCCTCCAAACTTAATTCGCATCGTGTATGAATATCACACAATGAACAGTATCGCTACTCAGTAACCAGTGATGACAACTTCTATAAAGAACCCCCCCTAGATCCAAATTCTAATATCCCTAAATATAGATTAGAAACCCATAAGGTTTGTTGTACACTCGGTTTAAAAGGTAATTTCAAATCTGTATCAAAAACACATTTAAGAAGTAAAACATTTTACGCTACTTCGATCTAGGAGTATAGCTTTTTGATATTCAGTTGTAGTCACGCTTGAAGTTTATATTTGGTTTAGTTGGTCGCTTGGGTTTAGGATTATTATAAATTGTATAGAATCGTGCATTTTTAATTAATGGAAATGAAAAATGGAATAATTACGTTAAGATTTAAAAATATGTATAAACATGGCACCGATGTGTCAAGATAGATCTTGCGCAGCATAGATGGCGCAATTCACAGATAATTTATAAAATTTACATTAATTGGGTTTCGTGAATTTAAATTATCAGCTAGCTGACAAACAGATAATGAAATACTGGGTTATATGCAAAAAAATGCTTTTCTGAAAACCTTTTAAAATTGAAAAACTTTTTTTATATTTATTTAAAGTTCAAAAAGAACAATACAAGTAAACTTAATGTGGCATCGATTATGGGTGTGGATCAACACAATACTTTAAATATAACACAGCTCAGCGACAGCTCTTTAACAACCGTGGTCAGCTAATAGATTTCGTGAACCGTGTCGAGACCTTAAGAGACTGAAAGAAGTGTTATCGGACGCTTTTCTTATATTTCATATACTTTTCTAAATAATATTAATTAATGATTTAATAAAAAAAAACCTACATAATATAAAAGTTTATACATATACAATGCAACACTCATAACACAGGTGTATTTTTAGGATTAAACTATTCTTCTAGGTTAATCGAGCCAGCTAAGATTTGCTTAAGTTCCCAAAAGTTAAAAGCGTATACTGACCTGATGTGTTGCCATACTGCTAGGCATAGAAGACACAACAGTTACTGTCTGGTGGTGTTGCTGGTTCGAATCGTGTTGTGACATACTCATTTGTTGCTGATTTTGTCCTTCTGTTATCTGTTTATTTAATATGAAAAATTGGAAGATGTTAGCATATTTATACACAAACTAGATGGCGCTGTGTCAGCTATGAAACGCGCGAAATAGACCTACGCTATTTAATCAGAACAAGGCGAGCCTTCGGCGCTGCGAGTTTCCATTAGTAAAATTTATGATATATCTAGATTTTACCTATCATACAATTTTTTTTAAATAATTGAATTTGTAACTCTGAATACGCAAGATTACAAAATACTACAACTCCCACTTTGTACTTATTGAATTTAAAAACTAATTCAAAATGTTAAACTAATAGATAGTAAGGAGATTAATTTAGTCCACCATTCAATATAAATAATGAATTAAGAAATAAGTCGATATAAAAGACCTCCATTATGTCACAACTAATTAATATTTTGTATATGCCTCACCGACTGTTTGATCTCTCCGCTCATGCCGGGCTTGTGATTCTTGTCGAACAGAAGGTTCACGTTATTTTGCGGTGATGCGAGAAAACTGAGATTTATTTCACCTATACCGGGCACATTAAACTGCTGCGTGTGAAGAGACTGATTATTGACCACCTGGAACAAAAAAAATACCGTAATGAGGTAAAATTTCTGCATTCTGCAAAATAGGCAGGTAAAGTCAAAAATGCCAACAAAATATCTATAATAAACACCTGAACAAATTTTTGTTGTTGCAAATCTTGTTGAGATTGAGGTAATTGCTGAATTTCAGGCTTCGTTTGTTGAGGTTGCTGCTGCAGCTGCTGCTGCTGCTGTTGTTGTTGCTGCTGCTGTTGTTGTTGCTGCTGTTGCTGATATTGTTTTTGTAACTAAAACAGAATAAATCGTACTTACAAGGATTGTTATAAAATAAATATTGCAAAAACATTCAGTATAAGAGATAGTTCAAAGATATGATTTAAGTTTGAGTTAGCTTCATCACTATCACAACAATAATACTATAACAATATTATAACTATTAGAATATTATATAATTTGCACTATTCCTTTATCTAAGAACGATGTTACGTTGTATCTATTGAGGAAAAGGACCTTTCTACATAACCGACCGACAACAGGAATACTTTATTTCGCTAAAGGTATTTTTTTATATATCCATAATCAGAGAGATTTCCCTATACTGTTGAAATTAATATACATATTATTTTATGTGACCTTCATTATACAAAGTATCAAGTAGCCATAGAAGTTTTAGCTACCATCACACAATAATTACTGGATGCTACTTATCGCTAAGAATGCTTTGCATAATAGATCATATATTCATTTCATTGTTACAATATTTCTCTTTTATCTCGTCAAACAAAACCATAAACAACACGCTAGTAATACAATATTAAGTATTTCCACCTACCTGAGCCGATGAGTCAAAGTAAGGAAATGCCAATCACGTAACATTATACCGATAAGACGTTACTTGAGATCTCTAATAATATCAATAATTTAGACAATAATAATGAAGTCAATAATTTCATTCAAAAGCAGAATACAAAAGCTTTTAATATCTAAAAGCTAAATCTTATGTACCAATTCGTAAACATTGTCTTAGCAAAATAATATTCTCAGGTCCTCATAACTTTATAGTTAATATTATTATTAGGTATATTATACTAGCTGACCCGGCAAACGTTGTTTTGCCATGTATATTATTTCTAGGAAACATTTTTTAGTTTAATAAAGGAGCGTACTAACTATATAATAAAAATAGGGGTTGAAAACTAGGGGTTGTAGGTATTTTTGTATGCTGTATCATAAAAAAATAAAAACAAAAAAATTGTCTAAAAAATAAAAATAAAATGTTAGGGGTGGACAACCCTTATCGTTTAAGGGTATGAAAAATAGATAGCAGCCGGTTCTCAGACCTACTGAATATGCGTTTTTAGAGCCAACATTTTCGTTCTGGAAAACTCTACGTCTGAGTTAGCTGCAGGCTGCGGTGTTAGTGATAAAATTGTATTAATCCACTTAAAGCAAATTGTGAAGGTGAAAAAGCGTGAAAGGTGGGTAATTCTACGAATTGAGTGAAGCAAATCGTCAAATCGCAATGGCTGAACCCAGCCAAATCGTGCCACAAGCGCTAATTGACTCCAAAAAAGTTACTTGTGAGCGTTTGGTGGCTAGTCCACTGGCCGGGGTCTTTCACTAGGTATAACTCTCAAATCTGGCCCTATTGTCTGATGTCTATTGTCAGCAACTGCAAACCATGATGGAAAAGCTAGCTGCTAAACAACCAATGCACACTGCACAACAGACCGTTACCAAATTAGAGGTGCTTCAATTGAAATATCTAAAGACATCCACATCTAAATTTAATATATTCTATTTAAAAAATCTACTTTTTGTTCTTCCCATACGAAATGCCAATTACATATGTAAGGAGCTAATATTACGCTCCTCTAATAGAGGCTTTTTAGAAATTGCACCTCACAGGTTCTTAGCCAATTCGTTTAGGATCTCCGCGATTTAGTTTTTTGTATTGCATTGCAATTCATGAATCCGTCTTGCACTTTACCCTTAATATTTAGTTTTTTCTTTATTAGGGTTACCTGGAAGAGATCACTTGTTAGCGATAAGGCCGCCCATTGTCCCCTTATAGTTTTTGTTATTGGTTTTTCTTTTAATGTAACGAAGTATAAATATATATTAATTTATTAATATATAATTCCGATACTGGGCAAAGGGATGTAAAGTATAAAGATAAGAGATAGCAAGGTAATAAGTGAACTCATAACCATGATTTCGAGCGTTCATTTGAATGTGATACCAGCCGTGCACGGATTTTACTTTCCACTCCTAAAATTTGCTCTTACGGTGCAGGCAAATATCGCGAAGACAGCTCTTAGACCCAAAAAACGACGTGTCCGGAACAGAAGAAGAATCGCCACTACTGTTGCAATTAAAATATTCAAGATATAATCGGTGATTAGGACCTATGTAAGTACGGCCAATTAATAAATATATCTATAGACGTGTAGCTATAAATTCTAATAAAAGTATTTCCCTGGTTTTAATTAATTTTAAGATTGGATTTCAGATTTATTAAGTTAAAATTCTGTCTACAATTTATGAATTATCAATGTAAAGATTGTATAAGCCTACATTCTACAATCTTAAAGGTATGCATACCTTTTTTTCACGTCTTTGTGAAGGTACCTGCGGTTAAAAAGCTTGTTCAATAAAAATACCTCATTGTTCTACTCTCAAATTCCCAAATTTCAATAAGGACGACATCACTTGCAAATCTATAAACAGACAAAAGTCCCGTTCTCCAAAACCTTACGAAACGGCCTCGAAGAAAACAGGTTTGGATACCATTTACTAATTTCGGTATTAACAATCGGTGTGTTAATTTTTAAACTAATAATAAATCACCTTTGTTCACTAACCATCATTTACAAAGTTACAAATAATTGGAAAACTGAACACAGTTTTACGCTCAGTTTGTCTTTGGACATAAGCTACTACTTTAACCCATTTTATCCTATCTGGGGCTAACCTGTTCCATCTCTCCGGCAGACCATCTATCTGCCCATCTTTTACTTTACGTTCCTTACTTTTTCTGTTGGATACTATCGTAATTCATATTTCTTCCATTGCTCTGTTTTCTTGTAATGCCCTATCCATTTCCATTTTATTTTCTTGTTTTTTTTTTAAATCATACTAGTGATGGACAAACAATAGTATATTACGATAAGTCAAAAATCATTTATTAATGTAGGTAACACAATGTACACTTATGAACGTCAAAAAAGAAATAAACGTTAAATGGTTTTAATTTTACATTTACTGCCAGTTCTCAAATCAAGGGCATAGAACGAAAGAGAAGAACTGGCAATAAACTCTCCAACACTCTTTTTAATCGCCAAGTTTTTTGTTTTACACAACGTTTGTAAGGAGCTGCAACCATTAAACCATGTTGCACATAACATCTTAAGTGATAAATAATAATAAAATAAATTAAAAACAAAATTTCGTCGTCTATCAGCAGGAGGCATGGTGAAATAGAAGCACGCACTTACATTTTCGTGGGAACAACACGCAAATACATAGTCGAAACAACTAACATCACCGCATACACGAATTCAAGTACGACCAGTCACCACAAGTAGCACCCGTTCACGAGTATGACGCATGGCCAGCCATCGGCCTGGGTAAGTGAGAAAACTCTATAAGTCAGAGTCGGGACCCGTCATTTTAAGCTCTCATAACCTCTATTAGCGAGAAACGGAAACCTCTGTAAGAGAGAGTCGTTTTTCTCTCGTGGACCTCCGTAAGTGAGACTGCTATTTATCTATTCCTCTATAAGCGTCAGTCGAGCTTTATTTATTTATATTATTTAGGAGGAACTATAGCTTAAATAAAAATACAAGCAATATTCGACAAAAATTATGAGTTAGAGAAAAACATTCAAAATACCGAAACCCAAATGAAATTGACGGATTTTTAAAGGTTAAATAAGTTCTAAATAAAATATGCACATTATGCACATAATTTTATCATATTACATATTTACTACATTCGTACTTGCTGTGACTTGTTTTTGCTGCGTACCTCTATAAGAGAGAAACGCTACCCGTGTACCTGCATTAGCGAGAAACTCGGGTTAGTGAGAAACCTCTATAAGCGAGAATGAGATTGTGCTCCCTTGAACTCTCGCTTATCCAGGTTTGACTGTATTATTAAAGCAAGTTTTCTTTAGCGCTTGCGCGACTATTTGTAAATAAGTAATGGAAGTTAGGTATTATTAGATGCTTAGTCGCTGACCAAATAATTTAACGCGGCGATAGGTAACATTCAATGTTTTTTACTAGGAAACTTCTGGACCTTTTTAAAGAGGAAAGCCGGTTGGTAGCCGTGCCGGTCTAAGGCGGTTGCTCATTCAGATGACTGCACAATATTACTTTGGGATTATGATTATCTAAATTCAGAAGTTTGTAGATTACTATGTGTGTCTGTCTGTGTATATATATATATATATATATATATAGTTTGCTTGTGATTTGGATTTTACATTTGTGATCTACGACTACCTTTACTTTTCCCTGGACTTACGTGTTATTGTGTATTTGTACCATACCATGGCTACGTACACTACACAGGAATATGCTAACATGCACCTCATTTATGGGGAATGTTTATGTAATGCCAGTGAAGCCGCTAGACGGTATCGCGAGAGATACCCTAATGCAGTTCGCTATCCGGATCACAGAGTTTTTACCAATGTGCACCGTCTACTGTTCTCTGAGGGCCGACTGCCAACCCAAGTGCACGGTGAAGGTAGAATTTCACTACCCTACGAGGCAGTTGTCCTTCAAGCAGTTGATGAGGACCCAAGTTGTTCGGTACGTGGAATTGAGGCCAGCACAGGTGTGCCCAAAAGTACAGCTCACCGAATACTACAAAAAAATGAGTTCCATCCATTTCATGTACAGCGAGTACAATCGAGCTTGTTACCTCGAGATTATGAACCTCGGGTTGCTTTTTGCCAAACAATAATTCAAAAACACCGAGAAGACCCACAATTCTTAGAAAAAATTGTATGGTCGGATGAATCAACTTTTAAAAAAGACGGCTACATGAACCTACACAATCTGCACGAGTGGCACGTCGAAAATCCACGATTGATGAGACCAGACAGATCACAGTACCGTTTCAAAGTTAACATGTGGACTGGAATTTTGAACGGAAAAGTCATAGGGCCTTTTGAGTTACCAGAAGTTTTAAATGCTGAAATTTATTTAGATTTCTTACAAAATCATTTGCCCAATTTGCTGGAGGACGTGCCGCTTACTATTTTACGAGATATGTG